ATGAAATTTTGCGCTCTTTTGTCCAAATTTTCACATCTTTTGCCTTCACAAAGAGTTATAAAACTAACTGTTGACATTTGGGTTGAAGAGGAGCCGGAGGAAAAAACCTTTAATGTGGTAAATTCCTTTATTTCTTTAAGTTACACCTAAGTTACACATGTTTTGTAATGAAATCTTTATTATGATTTTTTAGCATAAAAATCTTTTGATCGTTGTGAATACTTAAACTTCCTAAGTAACCGGCATGACTGCAATGACTCTGCGAACAAATCGTCGGCTGGAACGATTTTATAAACACTCTTATTTAATCATTTGAAATCCTAATTGACAAGTTCCTTAGATATAAAAGCGTGATGCATCAATAAGAGAAATGTTCACCACAGCTTTACGTAACTAAGGATCTTCGCTTATACTCTGGTAATCATTTGGACTTCCTTTACGCAAGTTTCTATCTTGATTTTCCGGATAAGTCATTTCTTCATCATAATTAGCATATCGATATTTGACAGCTATCAACAGGAATACAACAGCATTAACCAGCATAAGTCCCGCCAACAGGAACATGTAGTATTCCATAAATCCCTTGTTGAGGTCTTCAGGATACCAATCACCATATGATGCGTGTTTAACAATGGAAGCCAACGCTGAAGCTACGTAGTAACCCAAACCAATCATTGCTAGGCACAAACCCATAACTACTCCGCGCATATAGGTAGGGGACTCAGAATAAGCAAATTCGAGACCTGAAAAAAAAAGAAAAGAAACGATGCTAAATTACTTGCCGGTGGTAAAGGATAGGGAGGGAGGGGTGAGAGGAGGTTATGTTCAGTGTTAATGATAAACAAACACAAAGGTTTCTTCGGTAACTCGAAATAGTCACCATCTGGCGACTAATAAAGCTGACGCCGACGTTGCGCTCAATTTACCCCCTCTCTCCATCAGCGCTCCGTTCAGAATGTAATTAAGCTACTGGAAGCTATACGGAAAGGAAAGAAGTGGAAACAAGGGCTTAAGGTCAGAGAATCGCACTCGGGATCTCTCCAACAGAAGCCAGGGTTCGTACTCTTTTCAGCTCTTCAAATTCCATGACTTTCCATAACTTTTCCCATAACCTTTTTAAGTTTTCCAAACCTTAGGTTTAGCTGTCACTTTCAAAAATTTTTAAAACTTTCCTTGTTTTAGAAGATTTTTTGGACCTTACGAGAGTTCAACAGACACAAACAACTCTGGTGTCCACTGCAAGGTCTACCGTTTGCGCTGGATAATTACTTCTCTTTATTACTTACATTGTCATTACCTTGCATCAAACAAAACTAAATTTGCACGACTTTCCAAGACCAACAGTTAAATTCCATGATTATCCAGGCCTGGAAAATGAAAAGCTTAAATTCCATGACTTTCCAGGTTTTCCAGAGCAGAACCGACAACACTGAATATCTTCAATTGACACGACTGATCAGTTAAAGGCAGGCTTCAATTTTAAACCTTAATATTTCCTTTGCTGACTACCTCCTTCTTTTATTGAGTAAGAAACGTTATTTCTTAAACTTGTGGTGAGTCTAAAGGACGAAAGTTTTTAAAGACTACTACTGTGAACTGTTACCTGTAACGCCTACTAGAGCCTCGCTTGTTCCCTGTAGAATGTACTGAGGAACTTGATAAAACACACTCATTGTGGATGCATTCACGGTTTTATCAAACACGTCTTGCTCAAACGTTCCATGCGTCTTTATAATATGTTTTCTTTCAACTTCAATAACCCCTGCCATAACAACTGAGCCCGCGGCAAACAGCAACCCAACGCCGATTCTGCGCAGTGGGGTAAAATTAAAACCAAGACGTCGCAGACCTGGGTAAACCACTCGGTCGATAAATGGAATAAGAACAAGCAGCGAACTGATTTCAAAAAGGCTGAGTGATGCGGCAGGAAATGAAATATTGTCTGTGACTTTTAAGTTCATGTAAGAAGCTTGAAGGACATAGGTGGTAAGTCCCTAAAGAAAAAGAAGATAAAGTTATAGCAATTTAACAAGACTTTTGGAAAGGCCGAAGTAGCCGTGAAAGCCTCATCCTCCAACCCTCCTCTTTGGCCTCAGGAAAGCTGGGTTAGCCTTTGAAGAACTTGGGAGAGCAATGGAGATAAGACCCTGTGGTAATACTATATGGCATCTATCTTGAAGGCAGTCGAACAATAATGATGATGATGACGGTGATGATGATAATGACGATGATGATAATTTGGAAAAAGGAAAATTCTAACAGCAGAAAGCTCTGAAAAAATTTCGAGCTCCAGATCAGAATCGAACTCACGACAGGACCCTCCGAGTCTTAATTTGAATGCTCTAACCACTTATGATGACGATGACAATGACGATAATGATCACGGTGACGATATAATGATAATGATGATGATGATGATGATGATGGTGATAAAAAATTTTAACGATTATATTGATAATGAGTGCTAGCTATTTTCTTTTCGTTCTAATCAACTCACTTGCAAGCGAAGTCACTTATGCACTTAAGGAAATAAAAATTGCTAATACCTGTCCAAATATTGTCCAGTAGAAAATAAAAGTTAAAAAGATTGGCAATAGTTGGACTACTGACTTTACTCCTTCCACCATTTCCTCAGAGAAATTTCCCCCCTTTGTTGCCTTCGCCCCATCAAGCCAGTGGCTCCTGGAAACAGATTTTTTGCAGCAGAATTTATCCTTAAGGCCTTTGCCAATGATGAGTATCGAGTCAGTTAAGTAACTACCCTCCGGAGGGTACAGTTTGTAGCTTTTTCTTCCAATAAGGAGAAGAATTGTTGCAAACGTCATTGAAACCGCTGTTATTAGATAACCGTAGAAAAATGACACTTCCTGTTGAAGGTACACAACAATAGTGAAAGCAAGTAGTCCGCCCACTTGAATAAACCAGTAAAACCAGTCAAAGAATTTCTGCACCATTTGTTCTCCTTGCTCCTTCACTTGATCTGCGCCCATTGGAGAAACGTTGGCCTTGATTCCCCCTGTTCCTATGGCAATAAGGATGAGTGACACGCCTAAAAATCCTTCTTTACTTGACATGCTCAGAGCATAGGTCGGTGGGTAGCTGTAAGTAGTAGCCGTGAGAAGAATGGTACCAGCCATGTAGAGAAGCGAGCATCCATATATGGTATTATAGCGTCCGAGTAGGGTGTCAGCTAACCATCCACCGATTAAAGGAGTGAAAAAACATGTTCCTGAAAAATTTAAAGAATAAAAATTAAAACATCCATCTTCTTCAGATGACTGAACCAGTTTCGAAGTTTGACATACTGTAAGTATCAAACAATGCAATCAAAACCCTTGATGGCAAGATTGGGAGACTTTCATCTTATAAAGCAAAAGACGGACAAAACGCTACTTAAGAGCGAATGCACAGAAAAATCGAGCAAACCGTGGCCACAGCTCAAAACCTAACCTACCCTCATTTTAAGTCTGTAATAAGGTTTTAATGAGTTTATAATGCTGCTGAGGTTTAAATTTAAAAATGCGGCCGAGTTTGGGAATTATTTGAGATTTTCGATTTCAACGGTCCGCGGGCCTAAAATTAGCCGCCGAACACGGCAATATAGCCTAGCGACAGAAATGAGCTGGCTTTCATAAACGAGCGAATATATTGGCAATCTTCCACTTAAATCTCAAAAAACAGATATTAACAATTTCTAAACAGCACATTTTTTTAGATTTAGAGCATAAAATATCGACGAACGAGCACAATTTTGAAACGTAATTTCCATAATGTTTATAAATACAACAATTTACCGCTAAAACCAAAATCGAGTTTTCTATATGGGGGAATTCTCCAAATCACCCCTAATCCCGCTTACTACCTAATGAGATATAGTACTTCAACATTATCTGAAAGTTAGTCTGGTGTTCTCGCGAACGCTTGTAAAATAGATTGATTACTTTGAGGTTATTTTGCCCCAAACAACCGCTAATTGACCCCAGGGTCAGTTGACACGTGCACGTCACCTTAGTTTTATGCATCGATTTGAGCTCGTTAAAGGGAGAAACTAACAAGATTTTTTTTAATATATACCTGTTTTAATGAAATACACGCAATCTTCAAAAGGAGAGGCAGTTCAGTGGGTAATGTCTGTTCTTGAGATCTTGTAGATTGTACCATGGCGTCTGCGAGTGGACCTGAGTCTAGGTCTGTTTTCCCGTGACTGCGAAATCAGAATAACATCATGAAATAATTCTCGCTCGAACCTTCGTAAATGAATCCGCTTTGCAGTGCCTTACCTGAGATAAAAAGTGGGCCGAATAGGAAAACATTCTAGCGCAATTTGGATCCTTTGCAGCACCTAGTGTATTTGCTAAGCGGCGATGGTATCAGTGACTTTTAATTAGTTACTCACCTCCGATTGCGTGACCAGGCAATTATCGATTGTCTCCTGCGAAAAATAAGTGCACGGGAAACCAAAGCTTTCGGGATACAGTAAATTCATTTTCCTGTATGACCAGATGTTCTTTTGTCCTATTTTAAAAGCGGTTAACTAAGATGATTAGCAAACATACTGTCCCACTTTTAAAAATGGTACAGTAACTGAATGTTCTGTTCTTCTGATTTTACCCCCAACCCCGGAGTGTTTAGAAGATATATTTGCACTACGCATGAAAGGCAAATGGATTAAATTTGAAGGTTCAAGGCGGTTTTAAGGCATGGGTTACCAGTGGATTAGTTAGACTTCTCATAAGGTGCATTGAACGGAAAATTACAGGCATGATATCTTTGCTATTGTATATATGTCCATTAAGTGATTTTCCAGCAAACATTTTTTGACTTTTTTACCCCAAAAGTTTTTTCCGTTCAATTCTTATCTATGAGATCTAAACTTAGTTAAATTTCTGTAATTTGTTGTTAAATGCAATTCTGCAAACAACTAAGTATTTAATTTTGCGTAAAAGCTACATGAAATTGTACTGTTTAGCCGTAAAATAAAAAAAGAAAGCATCATGCTTTCTCTGTTCAAATCTAGTAGGACTTAAGCAATGGCATTGCTTAAGTCCTAGTAGTTGTTCTCCATGTCTGCTAAGGAGGAAATAGTTTGCTCTTTTCAAGAAATTGTTCTTGCCCATTGCGGTTTCAAACCAAGGATAGCAGCAAGTCTGTCGTGGTCATATACTGCTACTTCAGTGCAAACGAAGCATAGGCGCACAAGTCAGCGCTTGCGTTTAGTCAGGTGCCGAAAATGAAGTGGAGGGCGTCCATGTTCGCTCCGGCTCGAAAAGGTAGAATCAGTTGTGCAGTAAAAAGTAATGCAAAAAACCTGCGTGAGCTGGGGAACGAAAGGCGTCTTATTTTTCTTTGGCTTGTTCTATTTTCGCGACGTGGTACAGGCTACGAAATACTGACAAGCTCAGTATATGTCTTCACCACCGAGAGTCACTTGCCCTTAGCGGGACACCCCCCTCACGTATCATGTTCGTTCCTAAAGTTATTTCAAAGCACAGAACCAAACCTAATCAGCGGCCGAAGGCAGAAAAGGGGATGAGCAAACGGATGTCACAGCACATTTTGCAAGAAACTGGTATCCTTGTGCCTATCGGCTCAGGAACGATTAATTACTACTAGTATAGAATTAATATCAGGGTCAGAATTTGAGTGCTACAATGGGAGGAAAGGAAGAAAAGGAAACCGCCGCGCACACCTGTTAAGTCTTTTATAAACTTTCTCGTCCTGACAGTTTCAAGGCATAGAGTGTTTTCACATGACGTCACGGCGGCCATATTGGTGTCCCAAAACAATGAAACGGCGGCCATTTTGGTGTCCTAAACCAATCCTGTAGGAGTTGAACTCCTTTCTTATGCAAACGCTTTCTTTTGTTCCAATAAATTTGCATAGATGCTGGCCACGTGAGTGAAAACACTCTATTTAATTTACAGTGTCTGTTGCAGGTGTCGAATTAATCTTACAGCAACTGGAAACGTGGCCACGCCTGCTGAAACTGAGATTGCTTGTAGGATGAACGGCTATAGTTTGGTATATTCACGAGCGCGTTTTGCCCAGTGAACTGAGCGCGTAGTTTTTCTTAACGAAGGAATGGGGTGGGTCAAGTGAATAGTTCGGGGATCGTTTGCTCTCTATAGTGGGGGGGGAGGGGGGGATATTTGTTGATATCAGGAGTTCTGGCCTGGATAGAGTCGTTGTAAAGCTATTTTTGCTTCGGAGTATCGGTTTACCGGAAGCTGAGCAAGGAAAAGTCAAATGGTGCATTTATGGAATAATAATAGAGATTCTCATGGTCTAACAATGCGAAGATTAGACTTCTGGTAAGGTGGCAACGATCAAGGCCCGCATTATAATTCATAATAATTGAAGGTCATGATGTAAAAAAAGCGACTGAAATGGTGGATGCCATGCAATCCTCTCGGGTGGGGGCGGCGTACCTGGCCTTAAAGGTTGCCCCTGCGACAGAAGGCAAGCATGCCCAGATTGTCCACGGGTTGCTAAATGAGACCGTCCCTTTCTTAGTACCCGTTCCCTGTCTTATAATTAGACCCGGGCAAATTTCTCGAGATTGCACCATCATTTTGGGCTTAAAGCTTCCAAAGTCCAACAATAATAGCGCATGTTCGCGACGGTTTTTTAAGTCAGTCAAGTTCTTAAACCAGGCCTTAAACGGCCAGTTTTAAGTGTCGATAACAGTTAAAAAGGCATACAAGCCTCATGCAAAAGACAGTGGGAAGGAAGTGCACATCGGTGATGGGGAAAAAGGAGTAGCCCACAGTTATTTAGGGGTGGATCTTTCGAAACATTCTTATACTCTTGGACAGATATGCATTGTTTAAAGTTTTAGACAAACCAGGTGTAAATTTATAGTAACAAACTGTTAAATATACATCAGCAAGATTTTTGCGAATCCTATTTTTCGCTGGAGACTATCGTTTACTGGCTGGTCACGCAATCAAAGGTAACGTACTTTCCTACGTTTGTTTACTCACCTTTCGCTCAGCAATACACTGCGTTCCACAAAGGATCCAAATTGCGCTAGAATTGTTTTGCTATTCGGCCCACTTTTTATCTCAGGTAAGGCACTGCAAAGCTGATTCACTTACGAAGATTCGAGGGAGAATTATTTCTTGATGTTATTCTGATTTCGCAGTCACGGGAAAACAGACCTAGAGTCACGTCCACTTGCAGACGCCATGGTACAATCTACAAGATCTCAAGAACAGAAATTACCCATTGAACGGCCTCTCCTTTTGAAGATTGCGTGTATTTCATTAAAACAGGTACATATTAAAAGAATCTTGTTAGTTTCGCCCTTTTAACGAGCTCAAATCGATGCATAAAACTAAGGTGACGTGCACGTGTCAACTGACCCTGGGGTCAATTAGCGGTTGTTTGGGGCAAAATAACCTCAAAATAATCAATCTATTTTACAAGCGTTCGCGAGAACACCAGACTAACTTTCAGATAATGTTGAAGTACTATATCTCATTAGGTAGTAAGCGGGATTTGGGTTGATTTGGAGAATTCCCCCATATAGAAAATTCGATTTTGGTTTTAGCGGTAAATTGTTGTATTTATAAGCATTATCCAAATTACGTTTCAAAATTGTGCTCGTTCGTCGATATTTTATGCTCTAAATCTAAAAAATGTGCCGTTCAGAAATTTTTAGATATCTGCTTTTTGAGATTTAAGTGGAAGATTGCCAATATATTCGCTCGTTTATGAAAGTCAGCTCATTTCTGTCGCTAGGCTATATTGCCGTGTTCGGCGGCTAATTTTAGGCCCGCAGACCGTTGAAATCGAAAATCTTAAATAATTCCCAAACTCGGCCGCATTATGAAATTTAAACCTCAGCAGTGTTATAAACTCATTAAAACCTTATTACAGACTGAAAATGAGGGTAAGTTAGGTTTTTAGCTGTGGCCACCATTTGCCGATTTTGCTCGATTTTTCTGTGCATTCGCTCTTAAGGAGTAAAACGTGGATTTACATCTTATTTTGGACTTCACCTCCCCGTTCCTATTCAAACTTCAAAACACAAGATGTATCTGATCATTAAAGGCCACCCAACTGAATAAACGTAACTAAACATTACTTGAATAGTGACATGTGAAAATGTGGTTTGCCGGCGAGGAATCGGACTCTCACTGATAGCTTGTGTGGAATGCAAGTGTGATACCAAGTGAAATTGCATCATTCATTTCTGTAACCAAGGAAACGTCGCTCGATTCTCACTGGCAAACCATAAATAGCACATGGTATGCTATATCCTGCTTTCGTTCTTTGGCTTGAATCTCTGTTTCTTTGAAATAACAAATCTTTATGAAGACCTGTATAAAATATGGCTGACTCACTTACTAGCTAAGTATGCAGATTCAACACAGCCTAGGACGGTTCGGACCACTCCTTTCTGTTCTAAGGAAGAGTTATGAATTACACTAGCTTTTACTACCGAGGCTATGTGAACTTGGAAGTGGATTATTCGTCTCAGTTGACAGTTCTGATTGTCAGCTGAAATGCCGTGTTAATCATTTTTGGCAAACCGTGATATTGCTGAACCTGTTTAGCTTTCTTCGCTGAACTTGGCAAATATATGCCAAACGTAGTTGGAAGAAGTGTCCATATCTTACAAAAATGTCATGTCCGGTTCAACGAAAGCTTGGTCGCAGACATATCGTTAAAAAGCGGCTTCCTGACTACCCTCCACGTGGCACACTGAAGTTCTTTATGACACATACAAAATCTAACATCTCAATGAAAGCGTGACGACGCCAAGAGCGTAGAAAGTTCCGCATCCTTAAGTGAGAAGTTTGTTCTTAAGAACAAATCATTCAGAGAGGTGTAAGGTCGTTTCTTTTGATGCTGAACAGCTGAAAAAAGGAATGTTGGCCAAACTAAGGTTTGGTTGTGAATAGAGATATTCGGGGTACGCTTCAGTTTTAATTCAATCAAGCATGCGATTAGTCTCTTTATTTGCATTTGGATGGTGACGTAAGAAGAAGACAGCAAAGCGGTGCTTAAAGTTTGGCTTCATAGTCGGTCGGTTTACCTTTCGATATTACTAGACTATAGAAAGACAACCTATGTAATAAGAGGCCGGGATTCGTATCAGTAACTCTCTCTGTCATGTACCGTTAAGCCTTGCTGGCAGGTTACAAGTTCAGTTGTCAAGTGCGTAAGCCAGTGAGAGTAAGGTTGTTTACCATTTACCACATCGGAAATTTCGGTTGGGATGTAAATGGTAAACGTTTTTTGGTTCGTCCCACTGGAAAATTCCCGGGACAAACGGAAATTCTGAAAAGGTAGTCCCGTTTTCCCGATTGGGGCGTTCTGAATGGAAATTCGTTTACCATAGATAAAAGTTTCTTGAGTTTCGTACTAGTTTCATTTTTAACTAGAATCCAGTCTAGCGCGGCGCGACAATCCGGAAATTTTAGGCAAATGGTAAACGGCACGTACCGTTCTTGCCGAACGAAAATTCCCAACCAAAATTTCCGGAATTTTGTTTAAATGGTAAACAACCTAAGTAAAGTTCAGTTTGCCTACTCTTTGTAACATCTACATCTACATTTAGTAATTGACAACGCTTCCACATCAAGTCAATGTAAATTAAACGATGGGACTCAAAGCGTGACACTAGCAAAACTAATGCAGGTCATGGCTTAATTTCAGTAATTTAGCATACTGTCTGAATTATTTTACCTCATACCTTGAAAGGCCAAAGTAATTGTACTGGGTAATGGAGAGGTCAACTTTAGAATATCTTTGCAATAAAACACGAGATTGGCGGTCACACCGTAGAAAGTCAGACGCTCGCAGAGCTCGACAAACAAAATGCACAGCACCACAAGGTATCTGATCCTAGAGGGCTGTTCTACTGAATTTCTTCGGTCTTCTCCAGCTTCGGTACCGATATTGCTGTTTATCGCTTCACAGTTTCTTTGGCCAGTTTGGATCAACGAACAAGTATCTTCCGCCATGACGTGGGTCTAAGAAAAAGAATACATGTACTGTTATCATTGACATGAAGTATCATCTTTTTTGTCCTGAATCAAAGGTTAGTTTTAAACTTTATCAAACCTACCTCTGCTCGGCTTTGAAAGACACTTGAACCGGCGTTGGATGTGTATAATAACCTCTGCTCGGTTGAGATGCGAAAGTGCCTCCAGTCACCTATCTCTACGCTCTATCGCGCCCCGACGACCTTAGCAAGCACTGGGTTCAAGTACCTCTTGCGAATCCACCAAAGTTTGCCAAAACCGCAGGACATATTAAGAATATCTCATTTCAACTGGTGTGACTTAGTGGCTTTCAGCACTACAAGTGTAGACTTTTTTCTTGTCACGGAAAAATTATGCTGAAGAAATATCCCTTAGACTAAGGGAAAACAAGAAAACGCTGTTGAAGCGTACACTTCGGCGTCGTGGGTGTGGAATGAATTGTTAACCCTTTAAGTCCCATTATATCCACATACAAATTCTCCAAACTGATCTTTATTTAATTCCTAAAAGAATGAGTTGAGAGAATTTGATAAAAGATCAAAGCAAAGCAGTAGGTGTTCATTTTATTAATTCTCAGAACCAAATCTCTTGACAATGTATAGATATCGTTAAGAGAAAATTGATCTTGGTCAATATTGGGACTTAAAGGGTTAATGCGGAGGATTTGACAACTACAGAAAATGAGATAACATGCGATAATACTCTTCGTTGGTCATTCTAATGTCTTAGATACGGATTGTGACCAACGGAAAAGAATGTTTATTCAGAATTTTGGGGTTACAAATAAAGAGTATTATGGTACATTCATGGCATTTTCTGTAGTGGTGAAGAAATTGTATCTTGTAATTATAAGAGTAATTTGTGAATGAAATGAAAGAATTGAGTGGTTAGAGAATGTTGTTTTTTTCCACGGCTCTGAAGCAGCGATCACTGAGGGGGAGTAAAAGGAAAGCTCCGTTTGTTTACTTGCAGTGTGTTGATGTGTTTGCTTTTGTGTGTCTACGCGTGTGGCGATTGTACATAAATGTTATTTTTTGTTGTTGTGGTTGTTTGTGAGATTACTATTTTAATGCCTTTGACTGTCTTAATAAGTTCGCGGACTAGCCCATTCCAAAAACGCCTTATTTCCTTTTTTGGTGTGGGCCTACCGCGAACAATGTGTGCATTTGTATGTAAACGCGCCGTAACACAACATACGTGTTTCAAAAAAATATTCACTCCTTCCTCTAGTAATAAATAGTCGGCAATTTAATCCCAATTTTCCAGATCACTCCGAGCAAAAACATCCAACCCTTCCATAACTGGCTCATCAATTTCGGCCTACCAATCAGAAAATAAAATCACAGAACGAACAAATTCAGAGAACCTCTAAGGAAAAATACCCTTCAATTTTGCCTGTCTCTACCCTGTGAGCAGAGTCTCCTTCGACCTTCTGATCTGATCGATGTTTTGTACATGTGCCGAGTGTACTCTCTTAACAGTTATTTCAATCGGAAAAGATACTGCTACACGGTAAGTGTTTTTATATTTAAAAGTTTGTATAGTTTCCATGTTATTTTCAAAGAGGTCGAAAGTGCGTTTATAATTAATTGCTCACATACCTGCTGGATCGGACAGGTCCTCTTGGCTATATTTTCATTTCACAGTATTTTCTTTCTGATTTCAGTGAACAACTCTTTCGCCAACTGCAGCTTCTGTGTAAGCGTAGAGTGGTGGGAGACCTATAAGCATTAAGTTAGATTTCACCTAGCTGAAGTTGTTTATTTATGGCTCTCAGTTGAAGACTTTAAGGCGATTAATTGTTCACTTTAACGTAAGGCCATCACTTTCCATGACTTTCCTTGCAGATAATTTTGCCTGGACCAGACACTTATATGCTGAATGAACAAAGAAATTCTACTTCAGCAAGCACAGCTAGTATGGTTACCGATTAATCAGTAACATTTAATCAGTTCATAAGTACTCATTTTTAAGAAGGGGAGAAACCCTCCTGGTCCGTCTCTGATCTGATACCGGGGAATCCCTGACGTTTTATGTTAGGATCCGGCAGTCATATTACAGTCTAGGTCCCAAACGGAAAGTACGCCCATCCCATCTTTCTGAAAACCCGGTGCCAACACCTGATACTAACACTCGCCGCCGGGACTTTACGATGTAGTGAATGGATTTCTAACAGATTGGGTAATGTGTAGCCGGTAAATGGGATGTCGACTCTTTTACTCTCGTATAGTACAGGGCACCCATCCTGTGCACTCTAGTCTACTTTTGAAGCAAATGATTGTACGTTACGGATAGCACGTTGGTAAGGTATATTGTGTTCGGAATTTTTTATTTTGCAATATATTTCGGGCTCAAAAGAGTTTAAAAACTAACTTTATAGAAATTTTATTCATCCGGCAAATGTTTTATCACAACAAAATCAAGTTTGTGAACTATGTCCATTGTTGTTACGTTACGTTGGTTTCTTGTAATATGACTCCATGAAAAGATCAGAAGGGACAAGAAATACACAGAATTTCATGTTAATCAAAAAAAGATGTTAACAACAAAGAGTAAATAATTGAAAATAATTAATCGCTGTCCTTTTGTCTATGTCCCCATTGATCGGGCCAATACTGACATCGGCATCGGTCGGTGAAGTCGGCTCTGTTCGGCTTTCCGTCGCAGACACATCGCGTGTTAGTGTCTCGGTTTCCACACACAACAGGCAGTTTCTCGACTGGTTTACAGATTGAACTTTCTTCAATGAGTGGAACGTCTACAATTCTTAAATGGTCTTGGTGATGGGGTGGTCTGCATTGCCTAATTGCGCATGCGCGAGCCCAGATCGGGAGCAGGGGGCCAGTCTTGCAATCTATCACACAGTGCCCAATTTTAGGATTGATTAGATCCCCTTTCTTGCAGGTCCATGGACGCGCAGGATCACACTGTTCGCCGTCGTCAATACTGCAGTGTGTTATGCTATCGACAACTCTTATCACGTCTTGGGCTTTCTTTTTGTATTTCAAATCATGCGCTACTTCAAGAAGGCACTTTCGAAATTCCACGTTACAATAACATGGCCGGTAGCTGAATACAGTTCCTTTTGGGGGAATACTTTCCCCGCCTGCGCATGTCAGCATCCGATAGCAGCACAAGTCTAACTCATTTCTAGGCTCTACTCCACCTATTCTTGTAAAAGTCTCCATAGAAACGTCACAATAATGAGTGTTGTCTTTCAGTGATTTAACAGTGTCTGTTGAAATACAAGCAAATCCGTCGCCTTCTTTTTCATTTCCTATACTCCAGCCCATATTATTATCATACAGCTCTATACACATATTTCCTTCATCTACACACAGTCCTGGATTAGCTCTACACTGATTAACTCCTGGCTTGCAGTCCTTTTTGTGAGAGCCACATTCACAGCGAAGCTCCGATCCCCACATTTTGCAGATTGCCCGGTTCGCACAGACTTTTGGGATGCGACAAAGGTTCACAAAAAATTGACACCTATGATAAGAAAAAAATATTACGAAAAAGGAATAGGATTGATTTCCGCAGGTCTCTGGGGTCTGGTCCAGTAAAGAGTCTTTCCTCTGGTATAGTGTGGGCTCATTTCCCGAGCTAAACAAAAGAGCCGAGTTGTTGGAAGCTTGGCCCATATATGTTATCTTAATATCTCCCGATAAGAAGGAAAAATGCCGTTTTTCCTTTTTCGGGGGTAGGGTACGGCTAAATCCGCAGGTTTTTCAAAGCTCGGGGTAAACTACATAAACTCATCAAACAGAGCATAGAAGTTGCCATGGTAACCCACCCATGATTTCGCTACTTGTCCTACAACCCTCTTTTGAGCTTAAAGGTTTGATTTGTTTCCACAGCACTCGTTCGGCCCGTCTTTCCTTCTCTCTTGTAGCAGATAATTTATAAACAAAATACCACCAAAATTTTCACATCAGAAACTTCACAACTGTGAAAATTCTTATAAGACAGACACACTTCGGAAACATGCCCAGCCCAGCTATAGTCCTAAGTGCAGTTCACAAAAATCACTGCAACTGTCAAGGTAGCCTATGAACAGGTCGAGCGGGGAACTAGGAACTTCGCTTTCCTTACTATTTTTTCCCCAAAAAGAGAGCCTGTTCACAGGCCACTGTCAGGGCAGCTCCTACAGACACCGACTTAAAATATCCGGGGTCACGTCGGGGGAATTCTGTTATAGTACCTGCACGTGTTTCTCCACCAGGACTCTGCATACCCAGTCTCAGGGGGTGCATCGCACACACATCGTGTTCCGTGATCGCCGCAAACGAAACTTCCGAGTCGGTTATACTTTGTTGGAACACATCGAGGCTCGCCAAAGCTGGGTCCCACATTTCGCCTGTGAAATAGATCAGGTTCTGGTACAATAGGGAAACATCTATAGCCAGAGCTAAGTTTGAAACCCTCAAGTAAAGAGTGAAAGGTGTTTCCACTAAGTTCTAAATGGCAGTTGGCTACTCGCGGGTCTACTAAGTCACCTGCCTGGCAGTCTTTTTTCAGTGGGTTGCAGCTTTCTTTGATAGGAAGAATATACTGGTTTTTTAGAGCGACGCACTGGATAAGACTGGGCTTTTTAACGCAGATAGAAGATGAGGCAACCAAAGGTAATAAAACAATTATAAAACCACGCTCAATGGGAATTGCCATTGCCAGTTGTAATCCCAAAACAAGCGAAGAACAGTGACATCATAAAAAAGTGTCTAAGCGCGCGCTTCAAAGAAGCACGACGAATGACGTCATCAACCTTTTAAAATACTCAGAGACAACCTCAAGGACCACTTACACGAGGAAAATTTTGCCCAATACAATTTCTTTCCATGTTAAAAAACGTTTAAAAAATGTGAAGGAAAATCTTTCTTTCTGCAGGGTGTGCAGGAAACTGGAAACATTTTGTCTTTCGGGACTGCGCGCAGTTCTATTTGCGACAAAAGCCGGGTGTGTGCATGCCTTAAACCTAGCCTGTAAATTAAGACACTTACTGTTAAACAGCAGTAATCACAAAAACAACTTCAAGACATGGTTAAACAAGCAAATGTAATTGAAGGCTGGGTTTCCGCAGGACTTTCTATAGTAATTAAAAGGAGGGAAAAAGTAACCTAGAAGTACATGTATACGAGGACTTCCTCGTCATCTAAATCTAAACGTAAATGGGTTACTGTATTGCCCCCCTCCCCCATCGTTTTCTCGTTTGACCCCGGTTCATCTTTCGCGCGGCTGTATCCCTTAATCACATTACGAAACACAAACGAATCGCACACCAGAAAACCGCCTGCTACCGAGGGTATTTTCGGTATCCGGGATTTGACCAAAATACGGAGGGGGATTCGGGAAAACGGAAAATATCTTGACGGGAAGTGGGATTTTACTGCTTTGGATGGTTAGCGGGATTCACCAAAATTTGGGCACTGGATGCAGGAATTCTTCCCCTGTCTGTCGGGAATTCGGGACGTCGTACGTTCTAGAGGTGAACAAACGAGCATTTAGTGGGGTCTCCTATGAAAGTAAACTACATAGCGGACGTAGATGATTATATAATTGAAACTGTCAAGTAATCAACAGACGAGCAAACAGTGATCAAAGGTATGCTACCGTGAATAAGACAGTCAGAGCTTTGGTGTCGTTATTTCTTGCAGCCACAGACGAGTCTTCTAGCGCCAGAATAGCCTGTCTAGGCGTTCAGACAGACTCGTAACCAGTCACTTTTTATGTGTTTTGGGGGTGGGAGAAGATTGGGGGTTAGGTTGAGGCGCGCGGGGTGTCATGGGAAGGGGCAGCTCAAAGAAAAGTGCATGAGCACAAAAACCATCGAGGGGTTTGGGCTGTCAGAGAGGGGAAAGAAACCCGGCCTCTCCCTCCTTTTACCCTCCGCTTCGTCAAAATGAGCTGTTGAAAAGCTATTTCGTTTTTGAACTGGCCCCCAAACACTACTAAATTCAAAATATTGGAAAAACAGCCGATCTAAATCTTATTTATTAGTTTTTACATCAGTTAGTGTTTTGTAACGTATGTTTATTTAGGAGACGGACAAAAAACGGGATTCGGGAAAGCGATGAAAAAAGTGCGGGATGAGGAATCGTGAAAAAGGAGCGTTAATGCCAGATCATACAGGACCCTTTTTCCAGACCTTATCCCCCTTTCCGCCGCCGCCACACAGTGCAGGTTAGTTTCAAAGGCGAGATCTCCCTTTGACGCCACAGATGCACCACAGATGACGAGGAGGATGTCGAAAAGTAAAAAGCAGTTTCCTGAAATGACTTTTGTTTATTTTCTTGCTCATAATTGTGAATGAGTCTCGTGTCCATCTCGTGCCAAGTCTCGTGCCGTCTTGTACTACCGCTGGGAATCTGGGTTTGAAAAACGATAGTACGCATGTACAAGTGTCCCACGTGACGCCGGTAAGGTGAACTATCTTGCGATTTTAAGCGATTTTTTACTCCGGTTAGTATGGCTTCTGGCGATGAAATTCCCGCAAAAGATCAAAAGGAACAAAGCAAGGAGGAGGTAAGGTGGTAGTAGAACTCCTGAGAACTACTTTCGTCAATTTTTTATCACTTTCGCTGGATTGTTTGTTAAAAAATCTGCCAATGAGTTCGACATGGGTATGACTCCGCGTCGTGTGCACGGAACGATGTAAAACGAATATTTCACATAATTTTATCCAAGAAAAAACGTTTATGGTAAGAATAACCCCCAAGACGTATTGCTCTTAACCTGCCAAGAGTTTTTAAAGGTATCCATGAGGAAATAACGTGATATTCACTATTAGTAGTAAGTCATTTTAAGACTTTGCCTGGTATTTTAAGTTTACTTAAGCTTATATTCAGCCATAAATTTCACTTTTCTCCTGTCTAAAATAAAATAAAATCGTGGTTATATCAGAAAGTAAAACTTACTGTCGCTTTGTATATATTGCTGGTTTTCACGTGACGTCACGATGGCCATGTTGGTGGTCATGAACAGAAGCATTTTCTCTCCTCTGGTTTCATGTATAAATTCTTCAAGAAAAAATTCTATTATATTGAACCCCAACGCGGCAGCCTTCTCACATGGTTGCAAACTAAGAATACGTGCACATTCTGTAAAGTCATGTTTTGAGACTGTAAATTCTTTCCTGGTATGCCTAATCAATCAATATCAGTCATTGGAAGGCAATCAATTTAGTCGACAATAATTCATCGATTGGCATAGTTGCTCAGTGATATTGATACTCTCAATTTAAGTTTTCTAAATTGCTGTCAATTTATATTGATTATTGTCAACTTTAATTGGTAGGATTAAGAAAAGTTATTAATAGCACTTTTTAAAATGGGATACTTAATGATACTTGAGGCCCCTGTTGGGGTAAAATTCTGACAAGCGACATGGCCTTGAAACAGTGACATAGGACAGCAGAAATGGTGAAATGACTGAATATGGTTTGGTGGTGAGCAACAGACAAAAGGGTTACAATTGAAAAAAACAGTAGCAACATGGCTTCCTCCTTGTAAAAACAGGTTTTGAATTAACTATAGAGTGCTAAAGAGAGCCTCAGTTTGCAAATAAATATAACATTGAAAATCCAAAGGGGTCAGAAACTTGAACTCAGTGTCAAATGGATTTTTTAATTCATATAACATTAAAATCCTGGTAACTTGAACTCAGTGTCAAATGGATTTTCACTGACAATGGACCATCTGTAGCCTTCAAATAGTTAATACAGCCATCTCCCCTTGCTCTTTGCTGCTAGGGACATGTCACAGGAGAGACGTCTGTGCCTAATGACAGAAATTCTATACCGATGATGAATCTGGTCGGCAGCTCTGATTGTTTGATGTAGTACATTCGACTCATGATAACTCGAACCTTGTAGGGAAATTGAAGGAAGTTCGAGTTATCGGTAGTTTAAAGCAAATATCCAGAAATAAGCAAATAAGCAAATGGAAGGGGAGGGAATGCCATTAACAAACAAAGTATACAGGAATGGAAACTGAATTTAGACTGGAGTGACAAAAAAGTAAAGACAAAGAATTGACACGGTTGTTTTGAAATAAATCCACTGTCTCTGACTTCCCTACGCGGTTTTCTTTCCGACTTGTCATGTGCTTAAAACATGGTTCGAGTTACTGAGGGTAAAATTATGTAGAAATGATCTGAAGGGAAACAAAAGTTACTTCAAGTTAGTGGGAGGTTCAAGTTATTGAGGGTTCGAGTTACCAAGGGTAGAATTACAGTAAATGTATGAAGGAAATCCAGGGGAAGGCAACTTTGGTTAAGTTAGTTTGAGGTTCGAGTTAGTGAGGGTTCGAGTTATCAGGAGTCGACTGAAATTGCATTCTTTAAGTTGTTGTTTATAAATGACAGACTAAAGACAAAGGCCACAGAGGTCAAATGTAAAACCCAATAAATCTACCAAAAAGCAGTCATTATTCTTGGAATATATTCTTCTTTAAAAGAAACATACGAGTTTTGCTGCAACTCGTTCTCAGACGAACACAAGAATTTACGATAGTAATAATAATAATAACAATTATTATTATTATTATAACACCTCCTTTCCATGCAAATAAGATCAAAAGCACATAAATAGATGAGCAGAATACTTAAACTCAAACCAATTTGCTTTTGGAACTCCTTGGCTACAAGAATAATTAAACCGTGATGTACATCATCATTATAGAATTTCTGTTGTTCAGGTGTAGATGTCTCTCCCACGAAACATCCCTAGTGACAGGGGTTGAGGAGAGATGGCTGTATTCCCAGCCCAGACCTTCTCAAAGGTTGGGAAGAAAAACGAAGAAGGTCCATTGTTTATTCTTCAGTTGTTGTTACATGGACGTGATTGTGCTTGTCTTGGGTTTTTAGCAGGAAAAGCCCAAAGATGGTCAATCAACAGGAGGTGCTTTAACTACCACACCGTCTTCAAAAAAACATCCTCTACAAAATAAATGGGCTCTATGGTTCTTCAAAAATGACAAGACAAAATCATGGAAAGATAATCTCCGCCTGGTAACTTCTTTTGATACTGTATCCTTTTGTCCACCTTTTGGACTCGTGTGATAGAGTGTTTTTTGTTTGTCTGTTTGTATACATGGTGCATATGATACATTTATAGTCCATTACCAGCAAAAACAGCGACCTGTCTCTGGCAGTCCTTGCTAAAGTTTGTAAGCAGTACATTTTATTTTATACAATAAATTGATATTTTGTAATAATATTAATCAACAGATACATGTAGAATCTTCTCTTGTGATACCATACATGTGTGCATTGTACAATCTTTGTAAATAATATAAAGATACCATAAGGCACACCACATGTATAACCTTAGAAACAAACAAGCTTGGAAGGAAAGACATTAAGGAAACAACACACAAATAGCAAGAGAGGAAGTTCAATATAATGGTCATTGTATGATCAAGCATGACCAAGATGTTGGAAATAATGCTACATGTTTGCATCACTCTACTTGCTGTAAGTGATCAGCAAAATCTTCCTGTAAATGTTATTCATAACCTGCAATTCTCTTTTAAAATAATCTAATGTGTGAAAAAGATTTTTTTCTCACCGCAGGCTAAAACTAAGAACTTAACAGTGTAAGATAACTGATGAGGATTGCATCAAACATTGAGAATATTATGACCACAGTTTTGTTATATCGCATTTTTGAGAATACATGTCATCCTTGACTTTTACTTCAAACATTCAAGGTTGAAGATTTTTGGGGGTAGGTACAACTACATGGTTTTTGTTTAATTCTGCATCATATTAGAGTATTTTCAAGCTGCACAGTTTGCAGTCATTTATATTTACAGGCCTTTCTGGATGTTCCTAGTGGATTTTGAGATTTGGTGTAAGGCCTGCTAAACTTAATGTACACATTCTTGTACTCATTCACTCTAATAAAAAAAAATAAAAATTCACAAAAACTGAATTTCTTTGTGGCAAATGTTGAGAAACAAACAGTACTATCAGGGTTGTCACCAAGATTTCAAGTTGCCGGATAAATACAACAAGTAGGCGGGGAATCAAATGGCCAGGGATTTCTTTTGGTTCTATTTTTCTTCTATTTTCCGATAAAAGTAGGCGGGGGCTACTCTCTTAGTAGCCGGGAAAAATCCCCGGCCCCCGGCTCTTAATGACAACCCTGACTATGGAGATGTTCTCACAAAGAGGTTTCATGTAATTTGTATAAGCACCCTTATTTTTGTGTTGTCTACAGATATATGTAAGGGCCTGTTTACATGGAGGTGGGGGATCCTGACCCACCTGTCAATATAATCTCTCATTTGGTTAACCTACCTATCATGTACATACATGAATAAAATGAGAGACTATATGGACAGGCAGGTTACCTCACCCACCTGGGATGTCCCAGCTCCATGTAAACAGGCCCTAAGAGAGACAAGAAAAAAAAAAGCACTTCATTTGAGTGTCAATGTATTTAGCACGAAAGTGCTAATTGGGGACACTATTTTTACGTCTCCTACTGGAGGCGGGACCGCCATTTCACGTGGTCATCCGAGCCACACGAAGGTCTCGCCGCTTGCAGTGCAAAGGAAGTACCTTCATTTCTCAGTTATTTTAAGACCCTGAGTATTGGTCCAGCCCCGGGAATCGAACCCGCGACCTCCCGCTCTGCAGTCAAGCGCTCTACTGACTGAGCTAATCCTGCCGCGGTTGCTTCCTTCCTGCCAGTTGGTTCCTGCCGACTAAGCTAATCCTGCCTGCCGATTGAAAAATCTTGCCGTAACATGGTCCATGGCGAGTGAAAGGGTTATGAGTTGTTTATTGTTCTGGTGGAAGTCAAGTCTCCAGTTAATATTGAAAAAGTTTATCGGAAAAAAAGGTTACGTATTACTAACCCTATGTATGTTGTACTATTTTTAATTACTACTATAGGACATATAACCATATTCAAGCTGCAAGCAAGTTGCAATCTGGATGTGATTATTCATTGTTCAAGGTACGGGAGAGGAAATTCATTTTGCTGATGGCTAGCTAATTCTTTAACTTAGTGCAATGTAAGCCTGCTCAATTTATGGATTTTTTTTTATTGTGAAAATTCGCTTGTTACAATAAATTTATGATCTGGTTTCCGCTCATTAATTTTTCTAAATTATTAAAAGTAATACAGTTGAGCCTCCATTTAGCGTCCACCCTTGAAAAACCGGCAAATGGCGGTTTAATGGAAGTTGCCAATAGAGGTTCATCATAAATAATATTATTGAGCACTTTAGCAGAAACATCACTTTATTTTGAAACAAATAAATGAGAGGAGAAGCATAACATTACTGGTCCACAATCACTCATCACCTTCTATCTTAGATGGTATATTCGTTCTTGATATTGATCTTGAAAGGAAGCCAAACTATTAAAAGTTGATGGCTACTTCATAGAGGTGACAACAATGGGAGAAATCTTGTTGGGCAACCAAAAGGTGATCACTGTCCCATTAGTAGAGGTTGCTGTTTGATAAAGGTTTAGTTTCCCATTCTTTTCTTCAATTGGTTTTCACATGATGTCACCAAAATTCAAATTTAGAAACTATCACTTGTTCTGAGTTTCTACTACCATGTGATACTAGAGCACCTTAAAACCTTTATACAAACAAATTTTCGGTTCAAAAGGGTTCTTTGTTTTGCGATACAGGACGCTTGAATTTCCAGGCTTTTGCGTGACGAGGCATTTAGCTGGCAGCCGGGAAAGCTCTTACTGTATGTGGGTTAAAAACATTATGGATTTTTGGAGATTTTGCTATCTAAACATTCCTTGTCTTAGAATAAATATTACTTTAATCTTTATGAGTTCCTCAAGCGAAGAATTCACGCATAATTAGGAAATCTCAAAAACAGATGTTTCTGTTGGTTTCCGGCGGCCATATTTGTGCCCCTGAAAGGGACACAAACATGGCGTCTCCATACAAAGCTTTATAAATTTGGGTAAAATGTTTTTCCAAATATCTCGCATATGAACTATTGCATAGACCTGATTCTTGGCAAGGCTTTTTGTATATTTATCTTCTTTCATTTCCCAGATTCTAGACTTTCTGTATTAAAAGGTTTCCATTTTTATTTTTGCTTTCTCACGTGAGTGAAAACGAGGAATAGGCCATTTGCACTAAGAGGTCATGTGACATTGTTTTTATGACATTATGAAAGTTATGAGTTTTTGCCTTCGAAAAACGATAAGTGGGTCATATCTTAAACAAAATAATACTGATTTGGTTTTTCGAACCTGCACCATTTTCTTAAAATAAGTAAGTTTGTAGCTGGTCACGTGACCAAAATGTGATTTTTAAAATTATGAATTACCTCTTTCTGAATACAAATTTTGCACTTAAACTTCAGGGAAAATGTTGAAAAGATGATGTGGTAACGTTTAAAGCACATCTGAGCGTAACTCTCAAACGTTTAACAAGATATAAGCATAATTAGTTTTGGCCTGCCATGTTGGAGGGCAAGAGTATGCCCACCAACCTGCTGGCCAAATTATACAAATCATACTACTTTGTTGAAGAAAGTGCCATAAAATAACTCCCTTAAATGCCTTTCCTCTCAAATTTCGGGTGTAAGATAATTGTTATGTGCTCTATCAATTTTTGGCATCAGCAAGAGTCCAACTCATTGTTTAAAGGAAGCATTGGTTACGTAACCTCTTAGTGCAAGTGGCCTATTATTTTAGAACTTTGATTAGTGGCCTTGTAACAGAGGTGGCCACTTAATGGAGGTTCAACTGTCATGTCAATGTGTCTTATTTACTTGAAATTTTTACCAATCATTGTTTGTTTCTCATGATTTACTGTATTTGTTCAACAGGAAGGCATCGAGCCAATGTGGGAAGATGAAAGAAACAGACAAGGGGGACGCTGGCTACTAAATACACAGAAAAATTCCAGACAAGACCTTGACAGATTATGGGTTGAAACGGTAATAAGAGGGTGCTGGAGCCGTTGTTATTAACAAAAATTAATCAGCTCCTTTGCAATTTTCTCTTCTTGTCTTTTGTTCAAAAACACAATAATTATTACCCGGTAGATAAACACTTCAGTAGCCTGTAAATACAGCTGTCTCTCCTTGCTCCTCGTCACTAGAGATGTTTTCTAGGAGAGATCTCTGTGATTTGGCGCCATAAATTCAATACTGAGAATATGAATCAACGTTTACATTGTATTAATCTGGTTGTGATGGGGTATATAAAGTTTTGAGTTCTACTGGGAGCAAGCATCAGCAAAACCCAAATGCTTCTTTTAAAGAAGGTTATATTCTATGAGTAGAAACTGTTTTTGAGCAGATTCATCATGTTTATTACATTTGATCTTTGTGATTTTTTTGTTTTTTTGTCTGTCATTCGTAAACAGTTGCTAAAAAAATTGAATTGCTACAAGTTGACCAATCAGCACTGGTTGACCAGATTCTGAACAAACAATGTCATCAACGTAGAATTCTGGGGGTGGAATCGCAGATGTCTCTCCTGCAAAACGTCAATAGTGGCAAGGAGCAAGGAGAGACATAAGAACAAAAGGCTGTATTTGTATTTTTCAGTATAGCTTCCAAAATACGCTGAAATGTGTTTTTTTCCAGGTCCCAAAATTTAAAATTTATCTGTGAGTGAAGGCTTTTCAAACTGGTCTAATGCTGCCAACTTAAACTGATCATTTTAGTGGCTGTCATAATTTTTTAATTTGCTGAAAATCACAGTCCAGGAAAAGTGGGGCACATGCTAGGATTTGCAGGTACAATTATTTAATGAAAAAATATTGAAGTTTGTAACTAATTTGTTGTATAGTTGATGCTTCTTATTGGTGAGCAATTTGGAGAGTACTCTGATAGTGTATGTGGAGCTGTAGTTCAAATCCGTACAAAGGGAGACAAACTGGCAATATGGACAAGTAACGCATCAGATCAAGATACCAACCTCAGTATAGGGTATGAAACAGTTTTGTATTTTAGTTTTTGAGTTTTAATAGCAAAGGTGCACACATACATGTGTCTTCATTGTATTAGTTCTTAATTTAGGGCTTTTTTCTATGCAGGCGTAAATTTAAAGAACGTCTTGGCCTTCCACGCAAGCTTGTTATAGGTTATCAGGTGAGAGAGAGATTTCTTTAGTATTACAGTAAAACTGTCCGAAATTACATGCAGCTAATCAAACAGGCAAGGTCATTGTGAAAAGGTTGTTAATTTATTAGGGAGCATAAGCAACAACAAAGGTGGGATGACTAGAATGGTCTAGATGTACAAAAGAACAACTTAGCACTTGCATCAGGCTTTTTGGTACACTTATTCCCACAATACATGAAACTTCCCAATTTTTCATTGTGTGGAGGACATCAAAACAAAACAATGATTTTACTTTTATTTTTCTGATCTTAGATACAGTCTTTAAAATTGAACCCCTTAAACATTTGCAAACATTTGACCAATTGAACGAAATGGAATAAGAGTGATGAAGTTTGAAACAGCACAAACTCTCTTTTTAAGTGAATTTAATCAGTCTTTGCCATCATTGGTGTTTAGCTACCTATTACTGCATTAGTAAAATCCAACTAATGGTCTATCATCAATGCTGCATTCTGATTGGTTGAGCTACTACTAGGCTCTATGTTGTAGCCCACTAGAAGCGAAAAGCGCCAGATTTTTGGCGGCAGAAAAAGGATTAAAGTCTTGCTTTAAGTTGTTTTTTCTCAATATTAATTTTTTGACCAACTAGTTGGATTTTACTAAAACAATTATTTCTCTCGCCCTCATGGCCTCTGAGTCAATAGCCCATTCAGGCTTGAGGAGTAATTGTTAAATATCCATCATTCTTTCAATAATGATAATTATGACTCTATATAATTTTTTCTTCCTGTCAGGCACATGAGGACACCATGAGCAAAACAGGTTCTACTACTAAATCAGTGTTCTCATTATGATCTTAACATATTTTCTTATAGACAATATCAGAGTCAACTGGTATTTTAAGAAAACCTTAGGATTTATTCTATTTAATGAAGTTGAGTGGCTTGAAAACCACTGTCTGGCTTGTCAAAGGTCAGTTGCTCATCCTGACTGTGGTGTGAAAAGAAAACACTGCGTGCTTATACAGTTCATTGTATTTTCAAACAATATTTTGACATTGTTATTTGCGCAACAACAACTCTTCTTTGTAAAATTATATTTAGTCTAGTACAGTGTGACTTGACACTACAAGTAGTAACAATTCATTATAAATTTTAATGTGCAGTCCTTGTAGTGTACTTGTACACCTTTGTAGGTTGTTCCAATCAAAAAATCACTAAGTGAAATTCACTTGTAATGATCTTGATTTCAAATAAAAAAACAGATAGCGGTGACTTTCAAATGATTTTTTATGAGACATTTTAGAATAAGTAATGTAGCTGTTTTGTTTTCATACTGTGGTCAGGTTGGTCACTGTTAAATGACAGACAGGCTGTATTAGCTGGTGAGAAGAGAACTCTCATCTTGAGAGACTAAAATTATGGTGTATTGACACTTGACAGAAAGTAAAAAGTCTAGGTTTTGTGTCAAAGACAATGGAGCTTTAAACATACAATAATAATTACTGGACTGGGTTATGTTTCCATAACATAAATACATGTTGTTTTGAGTTAGCCATTTCCCAGCCCTCTAATTATATTCAAGCCCATGTGTATAATTAATTATAATTATTTTGGGTAAATTCTAAATTTTGGTAACTACAGTGTAATTACAATATATTATAAAATCCAACTAGTGGTCTATTTTCAATGCTGTGTTCTGATTGGTTGAGCTACTACTAGGCTATATGTTTTAGCCCACTAGTAGCGAAAAGCACCAGCTTTGAAAACCAAAACAATGGCGGCTGAATCGCGTTTTGCTAGCTAAAGTTGTTTTGTCTCGATATTTTTTACCACCTAGTAGGATTTTACTAAAACGATATTATTCCTCTCGCCCTCATGGCCTCTGAGTTAATAGCCCATTCGGCCTTCAGCCTCATGGGCTATTGACTCAGAGCACATTCGGGCTTGAGGAATAATTTGTTAAACCATTTTAGTCAGCATACAGGCACCTCAGTTAAAATGATTTGGTTTAAACTAATTTTGCCTTAAATGCATGCTGCCATGAGTTATCATTGGTTTGCTGAGAAGGTAGATCGCTTAACAACTGGATTAAAAAGTATGTGCTGTCATTCTTTACATAAATGTACAAACTGAGTTGTGTTTGTAGAAGCCAGGTTATGAATCCATGAAGCTTGAGAGCAATATTATTGCTTGCTTAAAAAAATCCACTTATGCAAACTCCTTCGTTGATGTGGTATAGAATGGTATATTTGCAAATATATTTGCAATTTATCAGGCCCAAGTTGTTCAAAAAGGTCGATAAAAATCAATCAATCAATCGATCGATCAATAATCTATATGCTCGAATTGAAGACAGCAATATAGCAATATAGTATAAGGTACGCGAAAAGTTGTGTTCGCGCTTTCTCAATTCAGCAGACCCGACTATCTCGAACAGGCTAACAGCAACAAAATGTGAATATCTTCGAGGATAAATTATTTTAAAGCTCAAACCACTGGATGGCGCAACTGGTTTCCCTAAGACGGAATCACTGGATAGTTCAAGATTTTATTCGGCGGATAGCGTTATCCACTTTTTGAACAACTCGGGCCAGAGAGCTATATGGCTTGTAGACCATTCTCACATATTGGGACTGTGTACAAGGGCACGAGCTACTAGAGTCATCAGGTGACAGAATACAGTGGTGTGTATGGATTTGAGTGCTCAAGCCTTGGCTTTGTTTCATCGTGTGTCGACTGCAGTAGAGTTCGTAACTTTTTATGTAACGTCAACTTACTGTGTTACTTTTACCCCAGCGAGTTAAACCCAAAGGGCCTGTGATTGTGTAACAGGTTTTAGACAATGTGTAGTATTTTCATGGGCACCCAACGATGGTTTCCTTCTAAAGACGTTGAAAACACTTTTAAGGCTGTCCAGAGTACTTTGAGATATCTAGAAATGCATTCTAAGCGGCGCTGTAAAATTTGTATCTGTTCGGTCTTCCTAGGGGAACTTCAATCTTTTCGGAATTACGAGGGACTGAGTATTCACATCTTTGAATGCGAAAATTTTAGGTTTCGATTTTTCTACGAAAAATAGCCTAACCAGGGGGGTGAAATGTGAAAAATTGAACTTCAGAAAGCGGTAGGGGATTTATTAGATAAGCTTACAAAATTGCACATGAATGGAACGGTCATTAAGCCGTCCTCAAGTAATAGAAAACTCTAGACAATATTTGCCTATTTGAAAAACAGTCGTTGGGTGCCCCTGTATTGTGGCTAGAGCGTTGAGGAATTTTCCACCGCGCTCAATAAGAAATGGAGCCCGAAGAAAGGTTCTTCTTTCGTACTATGTTTATAGGCCGATTTTCCATTATACGAAAATGAAATCAAGTGAAATGACTTTGTAACGAGGAAAACCCATAAGTACGATGAGTCGTGGCCGCGCGGTTTGTACATTGTAGTTTACTTAAGTCTTTGTACTGTGTATGAATATAGTGTATGGTACTGTGTTACCTCTTCTGACAAAGTTATATTTGCAAGTAATTTAATTTAAACTTTATTGAGAAGCAAGTCATTTGAAGAGGTCAAGTTAATGTTATTTTGAACAATTCTCAATAATAATCTGGATTGATTTTGTTCTGCGCCACCTTATTCACTGCAGTAATTTTCTGCTAAACTTAAGAATACCCCTAATTTTGTAGGAGTAGTGCAAACTAGTGCAACGTCGGAAATCGTTATGGTTTTTTAGTGCTGGATCCAGACCTAGCGGGGGGGGGACGGGGGAGCGGTCATCCAGACCCTAAGATAAGGGTGGAGCGGTCTCCCCCAAAAAATTTTTTCAGCCCTTCGGGCCGCAGTTTGGTCCAAAAGTAAGTGGGGCCCTCCCCTGGATCCACCACTGGTATAATTGTCGTCTCCATATGGTGTCCGTACCGAACAAAGCCGCGCACCGTAATATTACAATGTAAGTTTGTAAATGCCTCAACCTCCTCCCCCTTGGTATTTTTTCTTTTGTTTGAGATCCCGGGGTTTTCCAAGGTAATACTAGAAAGGGATGACATTTCTTTTATAACAGGAGAGGGATGGGGCATTTCTTTTATGTTCGTCGATTGGTAACTATTGCGTTGGTAGCGATGTCCGACGTTTAACTTTTGTAGTTGAGTAAGGTCTCATGAACATAGTATTATTTGCAATTAAAATTTTTAAATGTCATTTTTTGTAATCCTTTACCTCGTACTCTTGGGTTTATCACGACCATGCATTCAGTCACCAAGACTGAGGTTGAAAACTTACCCGTCTTCCTGGCAACCGGTCAAATCGCCCGAAAGTCATCTCGCCCGAAACCAGAGTTAAGTCGCTCGAAATGCGGAATCATTTCGCCTGAATTTTACCGGGTGAAGTGCACCTCATGTTTTCGCGTGCTTTTCACTTACGCGCGTCATCCCCACTATCTGAGAGCCTGAAACAGGCTATTTCCTACAAATTTCTTCTTATTCACGTCAATGAATGGCAAAGGCAAATACCTTTAAAAATGAGACCTGGGGTTAACTTAATAAAAGTTTTACAAGTGTAATAGGCTTTATCACGGTTTTGGAAGCCACCTTGACAAGTAGGCAAAAGTGTGAGAAATTACATTGTTTGTATGAGAATCTAATGTCGAATAATTTCCCTCAAACGGCTGTTCTGAAAAAACTGAATTGTAAGCTAAAGCTACACAGCAAAGGATTTTACTCTGTGGCGATGTCTTGTAAATTCGCTAGAGGCGCTTGCGGATAAAATATGCATCTTTTAGAAGGGACGCGGTTTCTTTGTAAATCGGAGCTACTTCTTCCTCCTTGTATGACAAGACTTTTTACAACTGTAAATATTCGTGAATCTATGTTTATTATTATTTAAATTTGTGTTTAAACGCTTACTGTACGTTACAAAAACCAGCATGACATTCCGGCCACTCTTCAGAAACCAGTGCAGGAAACTTGAGATGAATCAGTAAGGGATTACAGTGTTATTTTGGAGTTAAACTCGATAATGTTTTTCTACGCGCATCTTCCTTCAAGTGTCGTGTAAATGGACAAGTGAGCTTCTTTCAACGTTAATCTTCTTCAGAATCTCCTATTTGATCAATACAAAATTCTATTTTCTCTTCCTACTTGTGTTGATATGACGCTATTGTTAATGAGCAAACTATTCATTATTACAGATGAAAGAAAAATGAAAAAGTTTGTTCTTTCGTTCATTTTGTTCTCTCCCGTCTTCTCTGCTACAAGGACAGCTTGTTACTCTGTTTTTATTAACTTATTTTAACTTGCTTCTTGCAGTCGCTCTGGTGTACTACCTGATTTACAATCATAATCTAGAACATTACATGATTACGGTTTCCAAATATCCTCAGATGAGTCCCCCCAATTTGGAAAAACGGAAAGTCCCGTTCTAAGCTTCTTCGATTGAGTGCGAAAAAAGGTGTCCAAACGCTAGAAAACCCTTGACTGGGAAAGCTTATGACCTCCAGCTTATGACCGATGATCGCTCATGAAGGTTTTACTGTGGCTTATGCTAGCTTACGTTGTGTTTGGCTCGAGTAGGGCCCTTTAATTTCTGTGCCATATGTGACCGACCAATAGGAGCTAATAGGCCCCTTGCAGCCAGTCATTCACGCGTTACAGAATCGCCAGGCTGTTAAGCTCGGAACAAGATAACTGAACAAAGAGCTCACATTATTTTAAATTATAATTTCCTTTGTTTGTCTTCTCCCAGTGCGTCTTTTGCTCTGTAGCATGGCGGTTTTGTACCATACGAATAACTAGCTGCAAAAGGCCTATTATTAAGGGACCGGGTAACTAGTAATAATGGTCTTGACAAGGCGGTGCAATTTTGTTATAAATATCACGTTCAAAGGAACTTTTAGAAAACACTTCTGTTGATTTCAAGGATGGTAGACAAAGTCGTAAGTTTTGTTCTGAAAGAGAAAATAAGGTGGTGAAGATAAATTATGGTACAACATAATGCATTCAGTTTCGTTATCTGGTACCATGGTGGCTAAATTTTCATTTCTAAAATTGAATGAAGGCTGTGCAGTGAGAAATGTCTAAGTGTTGAACAATTGTAATGCACCTAGATGAATGAATAGCTTTGAGACAATGCAAGAGTGTGTTCAGTCCCTTAAGGGCCTGTTTACAGTGAGGGACCCCAGGTAGGTGATGAGGTAACCCGCTTTGGTCGGTAACCCGCCTCTCCACATAATCTCTCAGTTTAATTTGATCACGTTTACATGATGGGTGGGGTGACCCGCCCCATGTTACCTCACTTATCTGGGGTCCCCCACCTCCATGTAAACAGGCCCTAACTCCAGACCTTTTTCACTTTGCGACTATGCACTACAGTACTAGTGTTCCCGTCTTTCATTCTATCCAGGCTAAGCACCATTGATATTTTAGGAAACAACTATTCAAGATGCTGGAGTTTTAATGGGTATTTCAGTTAAGTTTTTACCTTTTCTTTTTCTTCTTCTTCTTTTTTACCCTTTCTGAACTCCCACATCTAAAAAGGGACAAAAATCGAAATATTAAAGCCGATCCTATATCTTCTTCGTCAACAATCTAACTGTAAACAGCTTATACTCATCAGGGCGTTTACAAATTTCAGTTTTGCTCATTAACAGAGTAAAACTGTTTTTTCATTCAACAATGTGCATATTTAATAGAAAGCAGTTACGTTTATCACTCCATTACGTTAAGCCGGAAGGGGACTGGACCACGGGGCGGAGCCTGCTCGTATAAAACTCTCCTCTAAGGGGTTAAAAAACGTTGTTTAATTTGAACTCTTACCTCCTGGTTGCGGATGCAGTAGAAAAGGAGGACCAACAAACCCTGCAGTAACAAAAATATGACACAAATTTGGCGTGACGATCTAGCTCTTACAGGGAAAATATTTTTTCTCGAGAAGCAAGATATATTCTGAATTTGAAGAGAAGAAGCAGTCAAGTCTCGGCTTGGTCAGTCCTGGACTCTACCTTGAGCTGTGACGTCAACAAGAGACCCACCCTTTCCCAGACTTAACGCGGACAACAGAGCAAGAAAGGACGCCTAGGGACAAAATTGAAAAAGAAGTATGATCCTCAAACCTGGAACGTGTAGAACACAATGAAGAAGTAGTGGTAAGTTTTGCTTGTTGTGTTGTTCACGGCAAGGATCCCAGATAACCAAGTCAAGACAATCGCCAGCATAATCACCACTGACGTCACTAGGCGATATCTGAAATAATGATTATAATTATTCAAGGCAATGCGACATGGGTATTACACTTAAAAACAGCATCGAATGCCAAAGTTACAGACCGCGCTAGGATTTCAGAACCTGCCTAACACAACCATTTGTAATATTGCAATGAACTACATGACTACACCAAAACCTAGATGGGATCAGTTCCAGTCACTGTTTGGGAATGATCCCGCACTCCTCGGACTCTAGAGAGCGGGGCGCGGAAATCAAGTAAAGAAAAAAGCCCTTTAAGTCACTTTTAAAATGACAAAAGGTTTGGGTTAGATTTTATTACAGGTAGTTGATCTCAAGCAGCTGTTGTGGAGGTTGCGTCAGTTGGTGGCCGGTACACAACTAGTCTGTTTATAGTGAAAGCATGTCAGTATTTAAAGACGTCGACTACATGGTCATATATTAGACAGGGCAGGCTGCTGAGCCCTTCAATTGTAACCGAATACTGAACTTACTTTGCCCTTTCAAGTCTGATATCATCCGGATCGTCTTGCCAGGTTATAACTTCCTTCAATGTGCACGCCCGGGTGATAAGATTCAGCTAAGAGTAACATATACGTATAAAGATAGCAAGGTTGAATAACTTGACAGTCTATTCCTGTGAGTAAAATTTACCATTAGAAGTTCCAATTTTTTTAGTCCGAAATGAGCCAAAATTATAACCAAGTATCCTCAGTCGTTTCCTTGCGTACATTTAGACACAATAGGGCCATTTATACGAGGAAAAATAAGACGCGTCTTAAATAAGACGCGAACTTTCCGTATAAACGGCACATTTCGTCTAAAATAAGACGCGACTTAGCTAAGACGCGTCTTATTTTAGAACAGCCCTTAACACCTGTTCTTAGATAAGACGCGTCTTAGCTAAGACGAGAAAAACTTCGTATAAATGACCTTCGCGTCTTACATAAGACGCGAACGCATGGTACGCATGCGTTAATTTTTGGCGGGAAAATTTTCGCGCCTTGTTGGTTGCCGTTGCTACGGGCAACATTCAGATGAAAACGAGTCAAGAACAGAAATAAGACGCGAACCATTTATACGAGTTTTTCTCGTCTTAGATGAGACATGCTCGTATAAATGGTACAGTTCGCGTCTTATTTAAGACGCGTCTTATGTAAGACATGTCTTATTTTTCCTCGTATAAATGGCCTAATGTTCTATTTCTTACCACAACTAGAATCAACACAGGGGCACCAAAGTACCAAGCCTCGCTTCCACGAACAAACATCCAGCAACTATAGGGAATAGAGAATATAGGCAAATGATATTAAGTAAAGCCAGGGGTAGCATGCACTAAAAGTAGAAATGAACGTTGATAGCAAACCCATAAAAAGTTCTTTTAAGCTTAAATTTTTTCAGACGCTTTGAATCGACTACGGTCGAACATCCTGAGCTGTCATTAAATCTCAGTATTTCGGTGATAGTTAATGAGGGATTCGATTTGTATAGGTAATAGCATGATTTGTAGTGATATTTGAAATAAATACCACGAGTGATATTTCGAAATTGTTATAAGAAATTTCACGAGCCTTTAGGCTAGTGAAATTTGAGACAATTTTGAAATATCACGAGTGATATTTATGCCAAATATCACGCACAAATCATGCTATTATTTGTTTATACCACTCCCAGCTATAAAAAGTTTGTAATTTTCCCATGTAGGTATTCAAATTAAGCTGAAATACCACTGCTCTAAGCCAATCAAATTTCAGAAATTTCTCATGTAGTAGTATAATAGTTCAAATTGTCATGCGCTATGAAAAGGTTTATTGGATGACTAAGAAAAACAATAACCCAGTTTAATTTACAACTGGTTTCGAACAACTGCACCAATCTTCATGCATTTATTAGTGCACGTAGGGATTCAAAATCTAATTAACATTCTTATAATCTTGGAGAGCAGCTTTCAAACATTCGCTAAGTGGGCATTAGTGGATTGGTTGAGTTAAATAACACGATAACTTACAATTCACTCCTCTCTGGAATACCAAAGTGAGGATAGTTGAATTCAGCGCATGCGCTGGCGAAGGCCACTGGGATACCTGCGTGGGGCATATATAATGCGTTGTTACCTGTCAGCTTGAACTTCAAAGACCCAAAACAACTGACATTTTATTTATTTTATATATTTATCGAATTACTACATTACTAAGGATCGAAGTGCTCCCTTATTCCTTTGTAACATTTTTCTGTTCACCTAATAAGCAGTTGGAGTCAATTGATTATGCAAAAAGGGCCTCAGTTTTGAAGTGGAACAGAAACTCATAATATATATCACCGTTTCTGATAAATGTGACTTACCCCAACCCACTGCGAAATAAAATACGATAGGGACTGTGTTGTTGTCGTTGAACAGCGGTTTAAGTGTTGAGTAATAGTAGATCCCTTCCATCAGTAACCAGGACAAGGCTGCCAGCTCAAAGAACTGAAGAAACGGATTCACAACTTCGCATGTTTTGGGATTGGAATGAAACTAAAAAAGAAAAATAATCAAATGAAAAGATTATAAATCGCTACCAGTCAAAACTTGGGCTAGTGGAGAGCGGTCACCTGTGCAGTACATATCACCTATCACAAGATTAAACCGCAATAACCTTTCTGAGTGAAAGAAACCGGGTCGTATTAAACCGTATTAGCGGGTGAGCTCTTTGGAGCAAAACAGACTTGTGGTGATAATCTCGGTGCAGACCATTTATTGTAACCATTTATTGTTTTGGAAGTCTCAAACAATAGCTTATATTAACCTGTGCATTAAAACTGGAACATTTCATTGCAGTGACCTAGCAGTAGTAATGTATTGCGCCCAAAGTACCTGGATTGCGTGCTTATTTTGAGTTTGTCAGAGAGAAAAAAGATTCTTCAATATCGAGCTTGTTGGGACGCATTACAAGAAGAACTTCTCATAAGGCTGGTTAACTTCTGATGACCAAGCAATACACAGAGATACAGGTACTAATTCGAGCCTATTTCGTTTTCGCGCTTGAATGGATATTTTGATTCCTGGATCCAGGAAATTTATGATTGTGGAATCCAGAATCAGGGAAATTTTTGCACGTGAAATCTGGAATCCTGGGCTTTGGAATCCGTTATTTAGCTCAAGGATTCCGGAATCCTGCTAACGATTGGAATCCGGAAACCAGAGCGTGGAATCCAGAATCCAAAACTGGCTTGGATTATCTTTCATGGAGCGAGCCTTTTCCCGAAGAGTTTCGAAAAGTAACGTTTAACTTATATGCAAGACAGTTTGCGCGACAATTTTTCGCGTCTGATCTGCATGTTATGACTTACCAGAGTGGTGCTTGTGGGTAATCCGATGAAGAAAACCAGCTGACTCAGCAGTAGAGAGACATCCATGTTCAGAGCGATGCGCATTTTATCAAACTGATGGTAACTGGCAAAAAAAATTAAACACGTGGTCAATCCAAATTTTATCACAATTATATGCTGTACACATTGATCTCGTCTCGAACAAAGTTGGTTGAAGATTATAGTTTTCCTTGCGACTGGCCTAAAGGGGATCTCAGTACAGCCAATAGTATGATAAAGTTCTCACAGTTTACCAACGTTTCGCTAAACCTTGGAGTGATGGACCTTCAATATTGTGCTGTAATCTTGTAAAACCAAGTCCAAATGCTGTACAGAAGAAGTGCAAGCTTTTTTCGAAATGTAAGCAAAGCTATCGATCTAGTTTGTTACTCAGTTCTATGTCATTAGTTAAAAAACTATTATGGCGATATTTTTATTATGCGGCTTACATCATCTATCATTATGTACTAAAAATTCAGTACTAGTCTATATAGAAGCGAAGGACCCAGGCCACCCAGTAAGTAACTGAAATTATCGTTCTTTACATGACGTTTTTGTTCGTTTGTCTGTTTGTTTTGTTTTGTTGTTGTTGCCAGTGGTTGTTGTAGTTGTTTTGAGTGAATGCCAGCTGTACAATTAAATAGCAAAAGCCAGCAGCTTATCATGCAGTGAAAACATGCCGTAAATCAGTGTACACGTTGTTAATTTCCACCAGACTTTAAAAGTCCTAAAGTATTCCGTAATTCGTTCTTCGGCCTTTCTTTCATGGGAGCCGGGATTGCGGTGGGGGGTGGGGGGGGGAGGGGCGTTTATCTTAAAGATTTGGGGAATGGTTAGCCTCGTTTCCGGGGCTTTGGAGATAAGCATTAATTAACGTGCATATAGACGTCTTATTGAACGATTTATGGTAGCTGCGTTCAGAATAATCCTGGTTTACTCACTTGATGACAATGGCAACAATAGCACAGATAAGAAGGCTGAGAATTGAGAACGATCCCAAAACAGTGGCAACTGTTACGAACAGTTTGCGATCTGAGTCATCCACCTAAGTTCAAAACAACACCGACAAACAAGCTTAAAGATAAGGTAAGGCAAAGGCGCACGCGAGCCAAAGGCCCACAAGGCCGGTGCTTTTTTCCGGTTTCCATAGCATGAAGAGTTCCAGGTGTTAACCGGCGGCCACACACGCCTCCACTAAACAAGCTTAAGACATGACATAAAATATAATATACAGAATTCGACTGAATGACGGTAATGGTGGGGATGGGAGAGTGTTATTCCTGGCGTACTGACCGATCAAAATGCCTGAGTAGAAGGGGCGGAAAAATCTTTGAACCAAGCAGGTCTGGAGTAAACTGTTCGAATCATGATACCGCAATTGGAGTCATCCACTTAAGTTCAAAATGACAGAAACAAGCTTAATGCGAGGAATAAAAGGTGCAGAATTCGGCTGACAATCACTTACTGCCATGCATCAGTGGTAATTTATCATTGCTGGTCTACAAAATAGCTGATCAAAATGTAATAGGAGGGGGAAAATCTTTGACACCAAAGCAGGAGTAGACTGTTCGCATGAAGTTTCACTTATTTTAGAGCAAATACGACAAATATGGGGTAGCAAACAGAAAACCTGCATGTTCTCCGCAAATTTTTATCTCAATTGTCAGCTGGCTTACATTCGATAATTCGAGGCCGTACTGGAAATGGTCTACCAGTCTGATGTATTTTTAAATGAAATTTTTTTCTTAACTTTCACTTTACGAGGACCTCAAGGAGCAAACGTTTGCCAGAGCACAATTTTAATCATTCTATCTCCTACCTTCTCCGCCACTTTCGACAGTACTGCAAAGGTCGCTAAATGCGAACTTATAATAATAATAATAATAATAATAATAATATTTATAGAGGGAGCCCAACTCGCCAAGGCGGTTTTCAGTGGGGCCCTCATGCATTAATCTAGCTAATTAATTAATTATTACGAAAAAAGTAAAATATGTTTACGAGTAAAACAAATTTAAAAAATTAAAATCTTAAAATCGATTACACAAAAAATATCAAGGTTTAAAATTAGCTGAGATCTTTTAAAAAAGTTTTTAACTTGGATTTAAAAATAGATAAAATATTACACTCTTTTAAATCATTTGGAAGGCTGTTCCAGTCTTTCGCGGCGTGAAAAATATAAGTTTGTTTACCCCAGTTTGTTCTGGGTAGGGGTAAGCGAATATCATTAGAGCGTCTTGTATTATATTTATGAACAGCTTGAGTTTTAGTAAAATTAAAGTTGAAATCGGCTTCTCCAATAAGACACTTGTAGATTGCAATGCAGCGATGAAAAAACCTTCTTGTGGACAGTGACTTCAGATCTAGACTCTTCAGTGCTTCAGTTGACGAGCTTCGGGGTGGCTGCCCCAGCATTGTTAGCAGCTTTATTCTGTAGAATCTGTATTTCTGACATGATGGTGTCATGAAATTTTTTCTTAACTTTCACTTTACGAAGATTTCAAGGAGCAAACGTTTGCTAGAGCACAATTTTAATCATTCTTATCTCCTACCTTCTCCGCCACTTTCGACAGTACTGCAAAGGTTACAAATGGTTTTACAAAACTGTTACAAATGGTTTCAGAAGGCCCAGTAGTTTTAACACTGCTGCCATCTTTAGACCACATCCTATGAAGAAAAATGTCCGACCATTATGAATTAATTTGGCAAAAGCTTTCCCATTATAAAAAATAGAAACGCCTGACTGCATTCATAATCACTACAAATGCTAAAGTGTAGTTTAATCGCCCTCCAAATATATAAATGGAGAAACTTTCATTTATTTATGCTTCTAGCCGGACACATGCAGTATATTTTGCAGGAACGCTTCAAAAAAAAGCAGCTTGAGGTTTTTGCCTTAATATATATGAGATCATACCTAGAAAAAGTCGGTCGACATATTCAACGTTGCTTGTATCCTAGGCAAAATTGTTTTACCTAAGCATTATTTTCTCTCATTTTTTTATTATTAGTATTTTTATAGAAGGCAAAAGCATTTCCTAGTTTAACCCGCTCTCAGATTGAAAATTACGCTACGCTTGCATTAAGAACAGGTATTACAGAGATTCCAACCCTCCCGATTTGATGTCTTGCCTCCCGCTCTCCCGATTTTTACCAAATTCTCCCGATTTATTATAAAATTTTGAAAACTAGGGAAAAATTGCTAATCTTTAAAATTTTTGGCGATCTGTCACTGTGAAACACTCATATTATACTTACTTTCTTCGCGAAGAGCCATTATGGTATGTTATAACTCAGGCCGGAATGATGTCAAAATTCAGGAAATAGCACTTGAGAGAACCTAAATTTGCAAAATTTCCCGGGGCGGGCATGCCTCCGGACCCCCCTAGAAGCTCGCGCCTTCGGCGCTAATAATTACTCCCTATTTTCCATCACATGGGGTTGGAATCTTTGAATGGTAACAACACTCAATAAAGATATTTAGGCTGTACTACAACGTCGTTACATACCTTTCATCCCAGAAAACACAAGAGGAGTCAAAAGTCTCGTCGCTTGCCTAAACGTGCAAGAAACATTGATTGATTTCTCCTGGTTGGTGGTAATTTAGCCAGGGGAAACCCGTTGTCATAGCTTTTCTTAAAGCCCTCGATTGCTACGTTTTTTTTTTTATTTTTATTGATGAGAAAGTTGCTCGCTTTCCTTCCTTTTTTTTTTCACATGCCTTTAATGACGACATAGGATTGTGCCAGTCAAGAACAATCGACATAGCCTGGGATTAAGACTATACAGCTCTAGAAAAAGTTATCGAACTATAAAGGATAAATATAGATACGAGCATTCCCCAATTTCACTCAAGGATAACACCTCTCGCCTCTCCTCCCGCACGACGATTTTCACGCACGTTTATTCTGCAAGCCCTACTATCACTGAGGGAAAAGAGGAACTGCCCGTAATCTAGGATAAATAACAGAGAGCTTTAGATTTGAGGACGAGAACGAGTACGAGATTTAACGAGAAGTTTTTGTGCGCGTTCTAAAAAAAAAACACCCCCGAAAACTTCAGTTTACTTTCTTTCACCAAAAGAGTTAGTACGGTTATTTATACTGAAGGAGGTTAAGCCCTCTTCCGATAGCAAAATGATAACACCTTTTACATTTCATAACCTCTTCCCGTCACTACGACATTCCCGCTAAATTTCGTAGTAGAAGCGACGGCTATTACTACATTTTCCCGCCAAAATGACGCCGGTTCTTCACGCGTAATATAAGCAATACTCAGTATTGAGAAAATCTCGTACTCATAATTGTCCTCGTCTGAGAATCTAAAGTTCTCTCTTTGTCTCTATGATCAGACCAGTATATGTTTACCAGCTTTTTCCACACAGAGTATGAATGAAATAAGTTTTCGAAAGTCACAAACATGGTTAATTAATGTTAAGATTGTTTAACGGTTCACTGTAAAAACTCCAGTGTTCAGAAACCATCGGAACGATCAAGGCGAATACACAGAAACCAGCCTTTAAATAAAATAGAGCAGAAATCTACCTCAGTGAATCTTGTTGCAACGATCTCTGTGATCGACGCGCACAAGTATTCGGAAGCATGGTCACCCCATTTTATATTAATTTGTTAATCGCTGTGATCGCTTAACTTTTTTTCAGCGATCGTAGCGATCACATGGAAACTGAGGCTTAATTGTTCCCTCGTCCCTGTGCGACGACCTCCCAGGCCTTCTAGGTCACTTTTTCACTTTTTCAGACACGTATCAGAGACAAACGGCCGAGAGATTAATTCCAAGAGACGCCCTAGTCACAAACTCGCTCGGATCATATGACCCGAAACGCATGGATTAGGAGGGTTTCATTATTCAAAGTGAGTTCACATGTGACGTATTTATCAACGACAAACGTTTCAGTTCAGCTTCTTCCATCTTAAATTTCACTGGTGCAGGGACTAAAACAAGCTAGATTGAATTTCATAAAACTGTTCTTACATGGAGATGTTTAAGGGTGATCAGGGCTGGCTTCTTGAATTCTGCTTCTTCGTGATAGAACACTGCTGATATAAAATTGCTGTTGATTCGCTTTTTGGGGGCCTGTTTATGAGTATAGAGTTTATCTTCAACCACGTACAATTCATGAAGCTTTGAGCCTCCAATATCGCTAAAGAAGGACGAAATATAAAAGAAACGTCATTTCTTGATTACAGGTTGCCTTAATGTTGCCTGTTAAAAGGCGATTAGAGTTACGAGTTAAACTCACTACAGTTGAACCTCTCGACAATGGTCATCTTGGGAACAGAAGAAAGTGGCCGTTGTAGCGAGGTGGCCATTGTAGAGAGGTAGCCATTGTGGAGAGGTAGCCATTGTGGAGAGGTAGCCGTTGTGGAGAGGTGACCGTTGTAGGAGGTAGCCGTTGTGGAGAGGTGACCGTTGTAGGAGGTAGCCGTTGTGGAGAGGTGACCGTTGTAGGAGGTAGCCATTGTGGAGAGGTGACCGTTGTAGGAGGTAGCCATTGTGGAGAGGTAGCCGTTGTTGAGAGGTGACCGTTGTAGGAGGTAGCCGTTGTGGAGAGGTGACCGTTGTAGGAGGTAGCCATTGTGGAGAGGTGACCGTTGTAGGAGGTAGCCGTTGTGGAGAGGTGACCGTTGTAGGAGGTAGCCGTTGTGGAGAGGTGACCGTTGTAGGAGGTAGCCGTTGTGGAGAGGTGACCGTTGTAGGAGGTAGCCGTTGTGGAGAGGTGACCGTTGTAGGAGGTAGCCATTGTGGAGAGGTAGCCGTTGTTGAGAGGTGACCGTTGTAGGAGGTAGCCGTTGTGGAGAGGTGACCGTTGTAGGAGGTAGCCGTTGTGGAGAGGTAGCCATTGTGGAGAGGTAGCCATTGTGGAGAGGTAGCCGTTGTGGAGAGGTGACTGTTGTAGGAGGTAGCCATTGTGGAGAGGTAGCCGTTGTGGAGAGGTGACCGTTGTAGGAGGTAGCCATTGTGGAGAGGTGACCGTTGTAGGAGGTAGCCGTTGTGGAGAGGTTCGACTGCACAAAAATCCACATACGGGACTTTGCATAGTATTGAGGGCTTTGTTTAATAACTAGGCAAAATCAAGGAAAAGTACTACCCGACCTCACTAGTTACTAGGCTTCATTACAGCCGCGCTGTTCGCAAAAAATGAGCCCGCCCTCATCGTTCCGAAAGAGCTGTCTTCGAGAAGATCAAAGACCGGACTCAGTAGAGCGGCGAGAGTTACCGGTATTGTCAGTTAGAAACAGTCAGGTAGCACGAGAACGCGATAAGAAGGCGTTCATAGACACTGCGATGCAAGATCTAGCGCTATTGCTTATGCTCCATTACGTAGTTCTTTCGCGTGGCGTTGGTCTTAACGTGCTATGTGAGTTAGTCCTCTATTTTTTTATAATTTTGATTCGCATGTTGGATTCCTTTTTCCTGGTCTTTTGTCGCTGTTATAAGTTAGAGCGATTTTCGTATGACCTTGCCAAGGTCATGTGAAAACGAAACAGAAAAAACGATCAAACGGAAATAAAAAGGAAAGGATACAAACGCGCGTGGCTTTTGGTTGGTTAAGCGGACGCTCGGGTGAAAAAACTTCTTGCCCGAGAACTTTCTGGAAATCAATCGATACTTCGCTTTTACGTCGACATACTGTAACACGATTGGCCAATCGAACAATGCTTTCTCCATATGGTTTTCTTTGGCGGGAAAACGAAGTGTTCATATTTTGATCTTTTCATCTATTGATTGATAAAACAAATAATGAAAATCGCTCTAATGCAAGTTTTTTTGCTGGCAGAGTTTTGATCGAAAGCCCATAGTTCAAAGAAGGACACTTAGACTTAGCATGGAAATGATCTGTACTACTTACCTGTCTTCCCAATCCATATCGTTTTTCTTCAGATTTTCGACCCCAAATACATTTGGCATGACAGCGACAACATACATGAATTTTCCTAAATAAGCAAAAAAGAAAAGGAGCAGGTGATCAAGCTTTGAAATTATATGGTTTAGTGATTTAAAATGAGTTCTCTAGGAGTCAACAATATTTTAAGTCTTTTTTGAAAGTCTTTTTTTTTATAATTAACCATGGTCAGCTAAGAAGGCTTTGTGGCACTTCCATGGAATTTCATGTGTTGGTTATAATAATTACTTATGCCAGCTTGCCTTTCGTTCCTTCACAAGACGCAAACTCTTGTCCTTAGCTGAATATCTTTGTTATCGCTAAAACTAACAATGTTCTTTACCTGTTTTAGGTAGTTCACTTATTGCTATATCAATCGAGTCAGCCATGTTTTTCCCATTGAATGCAGGATGCGTATAGTTTGGAAATTCCATTGACTCCATCTTGGTGTTGTTAAACCTTGCGCAGTTGATGACTCCCACTTCCATTGCTGACAACAAGAAGGAATTTGCTTTCAACTAAACGTGTGTCTGTTTTATAGAACTGACTAAATCGGAAAAGCTACGAGCAATACGGCGCCCAAAGACTTCCCCACCACTCTCCCCGCTGGCAAAGAACCGTGAATCTGCTGGGCTCTCGTTTAGCCTGCTGGCAAGCTCTCCTTTTTTGAGCGAAACAGCCGAGAGAGAACACGCGAGGGAGTGCACTCGCGTCTCCTTTCGCGTGCTTCTCTCGCATGACTTCTCCCGGCTCCCCGAAACTGAGAGCTTGCTCGCAGCAGGCTAGCTCTCGTTCTCCCTATGCTGCAGCATCAGGTAAGAGAGAAGAGCTACTCTGGACCTGGGAACAGATTGAAGTTCAAAGCAAGGGTAAGAGTGGGACCTTTGCAGAATACGCAACAGATAACATCATTCGAAAAACTAATATCCTTTCTTGTCTTTTTTTAACACAGCGTTATTGGGTTTCACTATCATAAGAATAGTTACATAGACAATTTAAAATGGAAATATAAATGAGAATAAAAGAAAAAAAGGTATTATACCCAAATGGGCAAGCACGAATGAGACCATAAGGACCCATTCAAGACCTCCCGAATATATAGTTTTAAAAAAGCTATAAATTACACAGTTATATCAGCATGTATAAATATCAAAAAGAATATAAAGTGCGCGCTATGAGCGATGGTATGCGCCGATCATACAAGTAACCAAGTTTGCAAAAGGGTTGTCAGAGTTTGTTGCAAAATGTTTTTGAAGACGTTGATACTGCAGAGGGTGATTTTAGGTACAAATTTACAAGTGAAGTTCAATAATTTGAAAATGCTATTAAAGTAAGAGGCCAGAAATGCGGAAGTTTTGCAAATATACAGGAGTTTTTAAGTTGAAGGATTTGCTTGAGTTCGGCCATGAGTGACAAAAGAAACAAATTTATGGTCGTTCTCACAAGCCATCCTGTAAGGTGTTTTTCTACCATATGACCGTTTCTCTGTAAAGAGCCATTTAAAATAAAGGCTAGCACCTTTCTAGTGTAATGTAATCGTTCACTAAACAAAACCTTGACAATGTAAAAAAAAATTCATAGCCCAACTAGCGTTAAGAAAATGAGCAAATAGACAAAAATAAAAAAAATTTCAGCATGCTAATAATTCCATTGATAAATACTGAAAGCATCATCGTGTTGAAGGATACAATGCCATGCATGTATTTCAGTAACTAGACAGACCGTTGAAAGTTTAAGCTCAGTGAAACTTGCTTGCAATGCCATGGCGAAACTAGTTTCTCCAAGTGTGGAACCATGGTGTAGATCAAATTGTTGGGAATTGTAATTAGATTAGGAGGCAAAAAGGAAACTCGCCTTCTACTTCTCCTATGATCCTAAAACACCCCCAACTAGCGCAACAATCACAACATCGCCAAATTCAGTGGAAAAAAAAAACATTCGTAAATCTCAACAACATTTGCGATAAGGCCTCGTAGCGATGCAACACTTATTAATCTGAATACAGTACTTTTGTAGCCTGACGCAGACACGACTGTCTCGGAACCTGGAGCAGGATTTACTTATTGATCATTTGAATATACAGAATGCTACTAAAGTTTCATCGTGTAAATGTGCACTTTTTTTTCTGTGCTTTGATCTATCAGTCCGTCAGATTAACTCAACGTATTGTTTTAAATTATTTTAAATCTCACCCATCTTGCCAATGACAAAAATTTCTGAATCATTGCAATTCCCAGCGCTGCAATTGTCAAGTTTTGCTTTCATCTCTTTGACAAAACTTCTTCCCATAGACATCAATTTCTCAGGCATATCCATCTTTGAAAATGATACATTTTCTGACTTCTCCTGTGAAATATGAAGAAAGGCACGCTTCAGGCAAAGGCAGGAATAATTTCTTCTTATTCTACTACAACTTTATATTTAAGTTATTTCAGCTGTTCTACGCAAATATTTTCCTTGTCAAATTAAGTGCCTATGAATTGGTACATACCTCAAAGCAACGGGACATTGCATCCAAGATTTTCATGTTTTCCTTCAAGGAAAAGACATTTTTTAAGAAATTATCACTTCCTCGATATCTTAAATGACAAAACCCTCTCATAAGGAACAATAAAATAGAACTGAACAAATTAAACATCTCATAAGGAACAACAACAACAACAACAACATCTTTTATTTCAACACAGCGGGTTTTAAAGCTAATATAGCTTATGGGGCCGTGTAAAAAATGTTAATAAAATAAAATAATAAAAATTATTAAAATTGAATGTAGTCAATAAAACAATAAAAAGATATGAATAGAATTAATAAGAGACGAAATCACTGTCAATTTGGGGACGACCCATTTGCGGTGACCCTTCATTAAAGTTCAGAGGGCGTGAGACTTTTTTGCCCTTTTGGCATAGTCCCTGGCGCTGACAGCGGATGGCTCTAAAAGATTCCAAACAATGGATCCTCTGTAAGAAATAGAGTTTTCATATAATAAGTTTCAAAACGTTGAACGCTAACATGATGTTGATGACGGAGGTCATACTTAGACTCTTTCCTTTGGATTATATGTTCCAAACATGACGGAGTTATGCGCGTCCCTGCGTCCAAAACTATGTTTTAAGATTAATAATCTTCCACAGATTGCTGTTACAGTTCTATCCCGTAAACCTATTTGAATTGATTCGTAAAAATTTTATCTCGTAGGTAAATAAAATCCACCATCAACTTGAATGAGTCGAATATTAAAACTGCAAAAATCGCAAAAATTAGAACCCGCAAAAATTTCGTGCCGCACGGTAGCCAGCTGGTTTACCTCCGCTTAGTTGAGATTTCTAACCCTGTTAAGTTCAATTTGAATTATTTGTTTCAGGTATTTGCTCGGCCCCACTAGTGCTATAAATACTGCCGACAGTAAATAACGGTATTAATTTTGTTTTTATTTATTTACTAAAGTTAGGAGCATAGAATTTTTATTGCCGTGCCCGTGACAGAACAGGCCATTGGGCATGCTATTCTCATCAGTGATGGCGGCAGTGGTTCCGACTTACGATTGCGAGTCGACCTTTCACCCTTCGTGCAGTACATATTCTTTCATAGTTTCTCGGTATAAGGCGATCATGATAATTCAGTTTTTCTTATGTCCTCGGTGCTTAATGTTGCTACACCCGCACATCAAAATCATTACTCGATTAAAACTCGATTAGGAGCAAGTCGTAAGTCACATGACTTACCTTTACACAACCCTTATCACTGCATAAGGGGAAGGAGTGTGTCCAGTTAACATCAGCGCAGTTCAAAGCAACTGTGGCTAAAACGGAAAGAAAAATGCAAATTTACACGATTTTCTGGTCATTAACCCAGAATAAAGTTCGTTTGTCACGTATTTATGGCTCGAGAGGAAAACTGAAAAAAATATGTGGTCACATTACTCAATTATTTACCTGTGGCAGAAATGCTTGCATTTACTGTCTGTGAAGGTTGTGTATCAGAGGTTGCTGGTGCTGGCTGAATGGTAGTCTGAGAAGTATTGTTCTCGAATACTGAGGCGCTAAGATCCAGGGTCATTGTCGTCTGGACAACTGGAGTACCGGACATATTTGATGAGGAATTGGACGCTTGATCAACTGATGATGGACTGGGCTCTAGATTAGAACTTGGGCTTGAGCTATCTGTTTGTGACAAGAATTAACCAAGTTAAGTTAGCCCGATTTCGTTCAGAGAGGCTGCGAAGGTTTTAAGAACGTGATTGAGTGTGGGCCAACTGCGAGAGTTCCTAAAAGTGACTGTAAATCACGAGGTGTATGAACCAGCAGTAGTCTGAGGTGACTTAGCCTGCGTAGCTAGCGAGATTAGCATGGGAGCAGTGCTGTATTGTTTCGGCGGCGGAGCAGCGAGAAGGGAGGGTATACAAGTCAATTTCCCTCGCGGCTTCGCGGCTCGCGAAAATTCCTCCCGTGGCAGCGGAAGAAAAGTACCTCGGGCACAAGAATCCCTCCAGCTACGCAGGCTAGAGGCGACTCTGTGGTTTTCCAATTACCCCAGCCCTCCTCGTATGACCATTCATATCTGGTTGTTTCAGTTAGAACGTTCAAGGTATAATTGATTAAACTGATTTAACTCTTCTAGAACGTTTTTATAAAATAGCATTGAGGTTAAAGTAGAGTAAACAAAGCATGTGATTCAGTTGGAATCCAGTATAAGGCCCTTCTCATAACAGTGCATTCCGTAAAATCGATATTTCTTAGTCGCAAACAGTGTGGTGATAAAGTCAATACTGGAACAACTACGTGGTTACAGTCATATTTTACTTATTTTGTCAAAAAAATGTAAATCATATACACGTATTTTTTTTTTTTAACAGTTTTATTCATTCCTTTACAGATCTTTCCAAGAAAACGTTCTTCTTTGCAAAATGTCACTGGTCAAATAATGTTATTGGCTATCAGAGTGGTATACGATAAATTACTTCTGTTTAATTATGATAACTACTTGTTATAACATTTCCTGCGGCTCTGGCATGGAATAGCAAAACGAGTCTTGGTGGTAAACGACGAATAATAACAGTTTTACATACTACACCATACATCATGGCCCAGCAAAAGCCCATAATTCTAGTCTGATCCGCATAAGTCATTATAAAGATTATAACTGCTAGCTGTCTTTTTTGACAACAAAATCTGAAAATTCACCGCGTTGTTAAAAAAGGATATATTCGAGACATATTTACTCCACAAGTGCAAAACAAAATAACTTTTCAACTTGCTGTCTTCGGACCTATTGAAACCTATTGGAAATTATTCGTTTTGCCTGCTCCACGTTAGGTTAACAGTCATGGGCTCAGCTTACTTTTAAGGAAACTTTGCTGGATTCTTCGTTAATTTTCCGGCGACCGTGTATTAAAAGCATTCAGAAATTGCGGTCTTCTTTCCGTTGCATAATAACAAACTAAGTGACGGCTGGTTTTGTGGTTATGGACTATGACAAAAAACTCTTGCCAGTAGAACAATGCTTAAATTTGAAATTGAAACTTACCTACTGTACTTGCCTGCAAAAGAGCTACATCGGCCTAAACATAGAGAAAACCGATCACTTTTTAACTTATGGACGTGTTAAGCGATTGAGTCTAAAAGTCTAGTAGGAAACAAAAAATACAAGGGCGAGCTTACCCTCCAAAAGAAGATAATGAAAACAATGAACTTCTGCATACTGCGTTTGGGTTTTTCATTCAAGTCTTGTCTTTTATCGCAGCGGAATATAAGGAAATAAATTTCTCAGATATAAAAGTGGTTCTCGTCTGCGAAAAAGCGAGATATGCAAATGTCCTATATTTTAAATTATTAATTATACTACTCCTGCTGCCATGGCAACGAGAAAATAAAAAGGTTTAGAGACCTTTGTCGCTGCCCTTTTCAGTTACAGAAATCTGTTGAAATTATAGATCTAACAGAAAAGTGATTTTATAACAACTTCTTCTGAACTTAAGCTGATTCGATTAAGGTTGTCGTAAATTTAAAATCAACACTTGAACGTGCAGTTTTGGCGGTTGTATTTGCATACTTACAGGCAGCAGGTGATTATATCGGGACTATAATTGAAGTTATACGTGACTAGAAATTCTGAAACGACCGCAAACACACTCGCATTGCTATATTGCCAATGACACTAAAATAAATCCGACGTGAATTATTTTTCGTCGATTTTAAAATAAAAAGCCAGTACATTCCAGTAAGTAATATGCCTCGTGAAAGGAACGCGTACTAGATAGCGAGTTTCATTCGCTCACGAGTTTTCATGTGTGTACCGCCTTCGTCTTTTATAGCTGATTGGGGAAAGACTGCTAGAGGGGCGTAAAGAAAAGTCTCAAACTCACTAAAGATTTCGAAAATGTGTCTCAGTTTTTAATTTGTAACTACTTTTCTTAGGAAGTTCAAGTGACAAATATTGATACTCTGGTTAATCCGCAAGAGAATGTTACAGTGTGATAAAGTAGTCAAACTCGATTGCAATCGTAACCGGTCTATTTTATAATTTTAGAGTTAAACTTGCGAGTTATTTCAACCATTTTTCCTAAAATGATGATATGCTGTAGACGCCAACGAAGATTAATTTAATATGAAAAAAGGTTTGATAAGTTTTCCATCAGGAAAACTATTTTGAAATTATGCAAAAGACCGCAAAAAACCACTGACATTCAATAAACTGGGAAATGTCCCTTTCTCAAGTTCCCTTTTCTCAAGTTCCTTTCTGAAGTTCCGCTTTCGTTTTTGTTTATTTAGAGCGGTTTTCATTTGAGTATCGTAAAACCAAAACCAAAGTAATTACTCTAGCCAATCACAAAGGACACAGACAATACAGTGAACCAATTAAAACTCGAAGTAATTACATGTAGCTGACGCAAAGCGCGGGAAAATGCATGCGAGCGTGACACAATTGGTTTTGGTTTTCCTTCTGATTGGATAAAAAAGTGGCGCGAATCTTTTAAGCCAATCACGTAGCGTAGTAAACGCAAAACCAATTACCTTTCGACACTCAAATGAAAACCGCTCTATTTATTCATTAGTTTGTTTATTTATTTACATTTTCTTATCATTTTGAGCTGTTTATGTTGAGGGGATTGACACAAGAATTCTAAATCAATAACTGCCTTAAGGTGCCTCAGGCGTTCTTATTCCAAAAACAATATAAAGAAATTCCGTGAAAATTAATATAAATTTATAATAGCAAGTTTTTCACTGTGTACCGCAGATATTTTTAAAACAAGTTTACCTATACTCTTAACTCAAGTTGACGATTAAAAACCGTATATAATTTATCGACTTTTGTTTTGAAGTCCTCATTACAAACAAAATGTTTTCCAAGTCGACGGTTTTGCAGCACGTAGAAGCATTTCATTTTGTGTTTTCATGAGTGAGCTTTGAAATGGCAACGCACATCTCATCGAATCACCGCGGCACAAAAAAAAATGCACTTTATTTGAATGTCAATGTATTTAGCACTAATTTACTAATTAAAGATACTATTTTTACGTCTTCTACTGGAGAAGGGACCGCTACTTTACTTAATTATCTGAGCCACGAGAAGGTCTCGCCGTTTACAGGGCGAAGAAAGTACCTTTATTCCTCACTTATTCTAAGATCCCGAGTAATCCGGCCCCGGACACTTCCCGCGCTTGAGTCACGCGCTCCACCGACTCAGCAAATCCTGCTGCGGCTAACATTAAGATTGTAATTTGTATTTATGGAATCAATGAGCAGGGACTCACCTGTGGTGAAGCTAAAGAGATTTTCCTGAATCTCCTGTCTTTAAATATCATTTATTATCTTATTGTCACTGCAGAATGGTTTGTAATAAATGTTAGAAGGCAGAGTCTTTTAAAAAAAAATGAATATATAATGTCAACAGATTTTGAATATGTTTCAAACCTGTATGATATGCGCACGCGTAAAGCAAATGAGTTTCCTTGAATACCACAATTGTTTGGAAACAGTTTTGACTCAACATATAAAGTGCAATAATGATCTTGCATATACGAGGTCCGGCGATGCAGGCTTCCCTAAGATTTAAGCATGCTTCGTAACTTGGCTTCTTTTATCATATTTGTTGGAATCGGCAAAGTTTGCTCAATGAAATGTCTTTTGTCATGTGAAACTTTGCTGTCGGCATCAGTACGGTCAAGAAACATCAAACGAGAAACAGAACCAAAACACAACTAGTATGAAAAACTAGCATTTTACAAGCGGTTAGAGAACCGTTTTTAAACTCACATTTTAAAATACACGTTTATTGTCATTTTTCACAATACGACTGAAAGGAACTGAGTGTTTCCGGTTTCTTTCTGTTACCGTACTTTATCCTCTCTTGTTTATAACTAGTGACCCAGTTATATTTCGAAGAAGAAGAAGAAGAAAAGCCGTGGACTAACGTCTTCCCTAGGGCTTTTCCCTACGCAAAGCCCTAGGGACGAGGTTGGCCTATGGAAAAGTTAAGCAAGTGGAGCGAGCGCGACCGAGCGAACGACGAGTATGTCCGGCAACCATTTCAAATTGGACGAAAGACTGTTTCGAAAGTTTTTGAAGGCCGCTGAAGGGGAAAGTTGGAAAAAGTGGACGACAAAGACCAACATGCAGCAACGGCACACTCATCAAAAAGAGAGGCCAAGTTGGTAATTGAGGGGTGGTTCAGAAATTCCAGTTGAGGAGTCGACTAGTATATTTTAAATAAGCTGATAACCCTCAGCTGTCCAGACCTCGAAAGAAAATTGTTGGAACTTGTGTATTAATTAGTTTCTCGTAGCAGAATGCCTTCATTGTGGTAGTAAAAAGTATCTGCGCATCTGCATGTAATCATGCAGTTAAAAGAGCTTAAACTCTGTTGACAGTGATTATCTTGCATGGTAGTCTAAGTTTATAGAGCAGTTAAAAAATCTCAGTCCTATTTGAAACCTATAGCACAGATTATTTCTGGAGTTTCTACTGTTCCTTGGACTAATTTCATCTGAGTGACATTTGATTAGCTAAGCCGGACAAATCTGCGAGTAGATGCCTTAGCTCTTTTGCTGAACCAGCTAGTGCCTGTGATATCCTTATCACCCTTATTTTCAAGGTGCATCTGATCGTTCGATGATATGGTTCTGTAGGATGAACAGACAACAGAGAGTACAAAATTAAATTATAATTATTAAAAGCACGTCAAATAAACCCATAAAACATCTGTATTTTATAGTTATGCCAATATACTATTAGTGATCTATGAATTAAAGGTTTCCAACAATGCTTGAAAACAGTCGATTCATTCTGGACTTACGTATTTTGGAAAATTATTGCCCTAATATTTTCCCCTTTGATGAATTTGTTTTTGAAACTCATATGCAAATCATGTGATCCTTATTGTTTCTTTTCAATATTTAAGCAGATACTGTGAAGACAAAGAAGCTGTCGGACGTTGCGAAAAATGAGATTAACAATGAAGAAATATCGGCTATCATGGCCAGCCTTAATTAAGAGCTCTTGCGCGCCCGATTCCCCTATGCAGGCTAGTTAGGCCAGGGTTTGAACCATGGCCTTATTTCCAATCGATACGGCAACAACCGGCAGGGGGCACCCAACGTCAATTTTCGGAAATATCTGTTCGGAAGACAATTTGAGATTTAGAACTTTCGGAACATTTGTTGTAAAATTTCTTGCTTCCCTGCCTCTCCTAGATTTTTTGAACATCTAAAAAACTGTATAATTGCCCATTTTTAACGGATTTTTACCCTAAAAGGGTCACCTAGAATTTTCGGGAGCCTTTTTTCTGGCTGAAATTTTCGAAAAGGTAAGTCTTGATCCCTATAGTTTTCGGATCCCTAGACTTTCAGCTAGGGTATCCGAACAGATGAAAATTTTTTAGGGGATAAAAATATGCCTATATATCTACCGTTTAAATACTAAAAGCTATGTTTAAGTGGTTTTGAACTTTATTCTCGTTGAGTGCCCCAGAACCGGGCAACTGACTGATGAATATGAATTTTACGACTAGTGACTTGCATGTGGAAAACAACGGGCAATGAAGCGAAGCCATATTTTAGTCAAACTGACAGGGCCGAAAAATAACGTTAAGTTAATGGAAGACGGACTGAGCGGGTTGGTTCATAGAATCAAGTACCTTGATATAACAGAACCCTCAACCGTCCGCACCTCACTGGAGGTGATGAGGAACTGTGTATTTACATGGTTCTCTTGCGAAATTGCCTACCTTGTGGGATAGCTTCTGCGCATGCGCATATTACGCATGCGCATGCGCATATTACAAACAACATAATGACAACAAAATGACGAAAATTCATAAAGTTTCCATGAGTTAATGTTGTAGTCTCAAATCGCAGATTTGTAGCAATTCCTTTCGTCTTGGTGTATGTTCCATAACGTGGAGTAATACTACAGTCACGTTATCCGTAAATAATAATGTGGTACAAGCTCACAACCGTACAGCTTCCCACGGCAGGCTCAATTTAGTTGCTTGTTGAAAAGTTCTTCCAGTTTGTCCTCAGATATCTCACTCCAAATAAGACTCGCTTCTTATTGTGGCTTTTTTTTTTGCCATAAACATGCAGGACTATCCTTATTAATCTTATTGGCTGCTTGCAACGGAGCAGTGTAGCCTGATGCTATGACTTTACAGAACGTACATGAAGATCATCTGCAGCTGTCACAGCGCTGCCCTCTGTATATCTTGGCACTGTTACTGTGAATCTTGAGATCACACTTCAGTCTGAACTCGCAAAGCGTTCACTACACAATACCGACCGAACCTTTACTTAAGCAAGCACTC